TTCTGTTGGGCAGTTTCCGAAAAATGTCGTGTCACTTAAAAACTTTGTGAAAAATCGGAAAGACAAGTCGATTTAATTCCCATGGAAGACACCTGAAGTGCATATTTTTAACCCTCCTAGTCCAACCCCCTAGGAAGAGTAGATATATCATCGAGTTCATGTCACAGCCAACTTATTCTTTTTGAATAAAAAGCAATTAGCAAAACTTTGTGATACATGGTTGGATAGAGAATTCCAAGGCGAAAAATATAGACTGAAGAAATGTACATGGTGACATTTTAAAAAAAAAGTTGGGGTCACTTCCGGTCAAACAGGTGGTTGAAAAAAATTGTCGTTAAGTTCGTAAAGTGCGCTACCATTTATTATATACCCCCTGTGAATTTCAAAATTTTATCTCTTCAAATTAAAAAACTACAGGCTGCTACATGTCTCCTGTGTCACCCGGTATAGGGTACTGTTGGAAAAAGAATTTAACGTGCTTAAAATAATGTGCACCTCATATAAGGTTCTATAAGGGTAACATCTACCTACCCTCCCAGGGAGTTGAACCAAAAGTGCTAAAAATATGTATTCAAAGTGTCCCCCTTGAGAATGAAATTGACCTATCTTTTCGATTTTTCATATTAGGAAGGAAGATATTGAGGGTGGGAAGGTTTCTAATTGAAATGGCATTTTTCGGAAACTTCTCGACAGACAATGATAAACTAGGGTACCGTTGGAAAAAGAATTGAACGCCCTTCAAAATGTTGTGTCACTTGACCCCCCATCTCATTCGAAATTTTAAGGATATCTACCCTTTAGGGGGTTGAACCAAGAGGGCTAAAAATATTAATTTTAGGTGTTGTCCTTGATGAAAATAAGATTGACCTTCTTTACTTTTCTTATTATTAACTGAAATAAGGAAAATATTGAGGGTGGGATTTTCTCAAAATGTCACCCTGTTTATTATTACAATATAGAATTCGAAGTCAATAAAATTTTGAAATCATTGGCAAAAATGGATCCTGTTTTACAAAAAAATTTCAAAATCGTCCCAAGTCCATTGTGAACTCGTTGTTCCTTCCAATACCGTGTCACAAAGTCTCTAAAACGAAATTTCCATAAATCCGGATGATTTCGTAAAGAAAATCTTTCCTTGAACAAACATGCTGTGGCTGTATTTTGTTGAGTTGTTTTCATAAATGTGTGCCGTTTCAATATCCAGTGTCAGTAGAAAACATAAAGTTTTATGTTTTTACCAAGCAGTGAGCAAAACAAAAAACAATAACTGCTCAGAGTCGGAGTTTTTCAGTTTAAAATTTTTTCAAATAATTTTCATTGTTTTACTCGGTACCTTTTAGGTAAACGATTTTTGATAAAGTGAATTATATTTATGAGTTCTACAAGCTGTTGAAATACCTAATAAATGACTCAACACACGACCTTGGTGATGTATTATGTCATCTGAATATCATTCCGGATGAAGAATGTATCGTATTTTTGGATTTATGATGAATTGATATTCATTCATACAGGACGTGGAAAGAAATTCGGGATTGAGAAAACCTATCAGCACTTATAGGAAGGATTTTTTTGAAGTTCCAATAAGCTTATCAAGATCAGAGTTTATACAAGTATACTTCTCATATACATTTCAATTTTCATTTCAATACTGAACATATTGGTAAGTTATATTTTTATATCACAATATATCATATTATTCATTCAATTTTATCAGAGGATTTTCATTTTTCATGCTCTCTTTTTGGATGATCAACAGATATAAATCAATGTTCCACGTGGCAAATAGCCGGAAAGTAGTTGTTTTCTGTTGAATATTCAGAATGATATTATGTGCATATATTTATATGAAGGAGAATGCAAATTCTCTACTTCAGAAGACTTTGTTTTCATATTCTCATCGTTTATGTTCAATAGATGTAATAATTGAATGTTCATCGTGGCATATGGCCAGGAAATAGTTGTTTTCTGTTGAACAAACCGAGAAAAAATTGATATTTTCATCTCATAGAGAATGCGATTTCTCAATGTATTCCTTTATATATACAGGGTGTCCCTCCGGAAACTGCATCGATCAATACATAGAAAACCATTGGTGGGCCGGATTTGAAAATTTGCTAGTTCACTATTGTTGATAAGTGCTATCCGGCTAAAATATTTTCAAGATTGTGGCACTGTATCGGAAAGTGGACCTACTGAAGAGCTGATTTCATCAATGCATCACACTTGGGGTCTATCAGGAATGATTACAGAGATATAGGGTGTAGATTTTTCAATTTTAAGATTTTTTTGTGTCGAAACTATTGATTATCTATCAAAACGACCCACATGTCCCTATTTTAACTTTTGATTCACTATCTACTGGAATTTAATTAAAAACAATACAGGGTGCTTCAAGATTCAGAATTCTGATCACCCTGTATCTGTTCCAATTAAATGTCAGTAGGTAGTGAATCGAAAGTTGAGATAGGGACATGCAAGCCGTTTTGATCGACAATGAATAGTTTCGACACAAAAAATCTAAAAATTGAAAAATCTCGATTTTGAACACCCTATATCTCTGTAATCATTCCTGATGTGTGATGCATTGATGAAATCAGCTCTTCAGTAAGAATCTTAAAATGCAATTAGATACAGGGTGTTCCATTTGAAATAACGAAGAGTTGGGGTCCACTTTCCAGTACAACCCGAAGTGCCACAATCTTCAGAATATTTTAGCCCGATGGCACTTGTCAACAATAGTGAACTACCAAATTTTCAAATTTAGCCCACCTATGGTTTTCTATATATTGATCGATGCAGTTCCAGGAGGGACACAGGGTGATTTTTTTATGTTCATATAATTATTATATATCTGAGAATATCGTATCGTATGTGAATAATTTCAGTTATTCTTCCATATCCAAAGTTGATATCGATTTTCTGAAGGTATATATACAGTGTGTTACAATTTGGTCCACCCCAGCATTGTACTTCCGTATTCCTAAGACGATTTGAAATTCTTTTTCTCATAATATTCTACTCTAAATTATCTATTTTGTCAAGCAAGAACAATTTTTCAAGCAGAATTCCTACAGCGATCACAAACACTTCAGAAAAATTGAAGAAAACGGATTAGGCATTTTTTTACAAAAATGTTGAAAATGGCAATCGATTCGGACTACTCACAAATACTCCTGTAACAATTTTCAGATATCTTATATAGGGGGTGTTATTCATCACCGTTACAATTTTTGGATAGTTGCATTTTTCAAGTCACCGTGTATAATGATTCTTATAAGAATTTCAATGATACCAGGCATGATGGTAGTTCGGATTAGATCATCTGTCTACAGAGAAAATAACGAATAAAATTTCTAGAAATTCAAATTTTCTAGAAAGAAATGAAAAGAAGAAGTAAAATAAAATGTCAATCAAAAAATAAGATAAAAAAATTTGAAAAAAAATCTAAAACAGCTTAACTAATTCAAATTTTTGTATTCTCGATCAAATCTCCTTAATTTTCTGTACACTTTTCATATCTCTTTCGCACTTTATTTTCAACTCTCCTATTAGTTCTTCTGTTATTATTTTTTGTCGCAACTCTCCTCTATTTCTGTGCCTGAATTTCTCACTGTGTAGTCAGATGATCTAATACACGTTGACTTGAAAAATGCAATTATTCAAAAATTGTAACGTTCATAAAAACACTCCTTATGAGATATTGTTCTGAAAATTGATTTGAGAGTATTCCTGACTAGCCCGAATTGATCAAAATAAAAAATGCCTGATCCGATTTCTTCAATTTCGCTGAAGTTTGTGAGATCACAGTAGGCCAAGAAATTGTGTTTGAACATTTTTTTTTGCTCGACAAAGTAGATAATTTTGAGTAGTATATTATGAGAGAGAAAACAAATTCAAATCGCCCTAGGAATACGAAAGTACAGAGGTGGGGTGGATCATATATATATTTTGGATAAAAATTGGTGGGAAGGTAGCTTAGAACTAGGAGACGGACATTGCATGGATACATTTTATCCAGGTACTATTTGAGAATTGTAGATGGCGGATGCAATATGGTGGGCGAAGTTTGTAATTATATATGGTTCGACTCGATCTATTCAAAATTAGTATTCGGGAGTTTTCGGAGCCAGAGATGATGATTCCTTCCTGAAAATTCGATGGTTCAAGATGGCGGGTCCAATGTGGCGAAATAGTTTCGTAATTATAATCCGATTCAATTTAAACATGGTATCTAGAGATTTTCGGGATCGAAGAATATGATTCCTTTATCATTCAAGACGGCGGATCCATCAATATGGCGGGGACGAGTTTTGTAATTATTGTTTGATTCTATTCAAAATTGGTATCTGGGAGTTTTTGATGCCAGATATTATGATGCCTTCCTGAAAATTCAATAATTCAATATGGCGGGACCAATATGTGGCGAAAGAGTTTTGTAATTATGATCCATTTCAATTCAAACTTGGTGATGTCTTTAGGGGTTTCGAAATCAGGGATTATGATTCATTCGTCGAAATTAGGACATTCAAATACTCTATTCTATTCAAACTTGGTATGGGGGTTTTCGGGGTCGAAGATTATGATTCTTTTGCGTCAAAAAAAGGGAATTCGAGATGGTGGATTCAATATGGCGGACGAGTTTTCTAATTGTAATTTGATTCTATCCAAAATTGGTAGCTATAGGGGTTTTCGTAATCGGACGAAGGATATATAACTTCGGCAAAATGAGGAAATTCAAGGTGGCTGATCCAATATGGCTTTTATAGATCTAAAAAGAAGTAGAAAATGAAATAATGATGGTTGTGTTGATCAATATTCAACTGAAAAATTATTTTCTTGACACTATATATATAGCAAAACAAAATTTGCTGGCTCTTGCGGTAATCCACATGTTGTTTTCATTAGGAAGCTACAAGTAGTATAATAGACAAATTCTTTGTTTCATCAATTCGTTGAATAATGTGTAGTCCTCTGATATCTGTTGAAAATGATTCATTCAGCTAATAACTTTTTATTTTGTTTAATTCTACATACATATAACAAACATACATCACAATACCACATAACAGAATTAAATTAAGGTTTGAGCACTTTCAAATCTATGTACTAGATAAAACCCATTTATCTTTACGAACTAACGGAACTTTGGTACTTGAAAATAATATTCTCAGTTTTGAAAATTAAGTATCCATATTTCAGAGGCTAATTCTTCAGGTCGAAGAAGATTTTTATTCCTTCAAACATCTGTCTTCAAACGCATCGTTACCGGAGCGTGAAAGTTGTAAGGTTTTTTAATTTTTTTCCGTATAGCTCTCAATTTCCGGGATATTCAGATAAAATTCAAAACGTAGGTTACGTTTTGTAATTCACATCACACAGTGTGTCGAATTGTAAAAATCTACAGGGAGCTATGTTTTCAGTGGTCAAGCCCATAAACTTGTTGCCGGTGGAAGATCATTTTTCCAATTCTATAGATAATTCAAATTTTCAACAAAAAATTATAAGTAGCGAAAAAGCGCTTGGCATACCTACCAGAACAAATATCCCCCTTCAGATTCACAGAATCATTCGGCATATTGTATGCTGTGTACCCTAAAACAAAATCTATCTTTCGTATTTTATCTGAATAATCTCGAAAACTGATAGGGCTATAAAAAAATGAACATTTAAAAAATCTCGAAACTTCAACGCTCTGTATATCGGTAGCAGAGCGTTCGCGTTCATAGGAAAAAGTCTTTTTTTTTTCCTGAAAACTGAGCCTGAAATCTTGATAATGAATTTTGAAACAACATGTATAGAAGAATGTCAATTGTCTGAAATCAGAAAAATACATTTGTCATATTGCAGGACTTGTCGCAAATCTTCGTTGTTTTCAATTATTCTAAGACTGAAATCTGAAAAATCCGGAAACTCAAAAATACATTCTTGATCGAACAAATCTAATCTGAAATGAACAACCAACCCCCTCTGATAGGCTCGCCCTAGTGAATATGGGAGATAACAGTTCTGATAGTTCGTGAAGGCATTTGGAAAGAGTAAAAATTATACAAAATTAATTTATCCTTAATCCTACAACATACATCTTATGTTATTCTAAGGCAAGTTTTGAAGAATTTGAATAATTACTCATTAATTCAAGAAATACCATCGTAGAATTTTGCTAAAAAAATTTACCATGCCAGAAATATTGAAAACTTCGCGCTAATATTGCGATTGAATAGGTACAAAACCACCCATAACAAAACACTGTCTTTTACTAAAAAGAATAACCAGATCTCATCCTCGCTTCAGTTTCAGTACAACTAAACTTATCGTCAAGAACAGGGCGATCCAAACTATCGTGGAGATGAAGCCGTAGTAAACGTCAGCTTCTACCAGCGACCACCCTCTGGTCATCATGGATCTCAAGGACGTTGTTGCCAAGGTCAAGGGCAGGAAGGTGGATATGTACCTTAGCGCGGTAGGCATGCCTAAAAGAAAACCAGTTCATGTACAACAGATTAACATACCTGATATACAGGATGTCCCAGGTAGCACGCCCAAATAACATTATCAGTTTTATTGTTAGCTACATCAGGAGGTTGTTACAGCCTATATTGAAATGCTTTTTCAAAACTAGTATACTTCAATAATATCCTTGTAACAATTAACACGTTGACTGCCATGTCGGTCTATTAGACCGAGAAAAAAATATCCTGACGTGCCGCCTCGGTCTCATAGACCAAGATTGGAGTTGATACACCAGGCCGACTCGGCCTATAGGACCGAGTCAATTGAACCGCCCGTGAAGCCGTCGGTCTGAATTATTGTTAATAATATCGCGGAGAGCGACCAAGACGGCTTCAGTGACAAGTTTATATTGTATATCGTCCTCATCAGACACAGCACTAGACCGAGGCCGAACCCGGACGGACCGAGCTGGCGGACCGACGCGGCGTACACGGGTATACATGTATAAACGAGCGCCGACTCGGTCTATAAGACCGAGCCAAATTTCTTCAATTTTTTGGATCCAGTGTCCCAATTTTCAAGAATTTCAACGATATACTATCTTCTGTAGGCTTCAGCTACATAGAGTCACTCATGGTTTCTGGGACAAAATTTTTGATTTTGCTTCGGCTCTGATACCAACAGTGTGTATATGAGCCCGGCAGTCAACGTGTTAAACAACCTTCTCAAAACATAAAGGGCCCATCTTTATAAAAGCTGCCACAGCTTCTCTCAAAGCTTGTCATAAAACTAATAGGAATTTATTGTAGTATGTCTCAAAGCAATAATGAAACCTATCAAAACTACTTCCTTTAAAGCCTATCAGCACGAGTTCAAACCTATATGCTTTAAAACGACTGTTCTTATGCCAACAATAAAACTTAATTATTGGCTAGAATTGAAACCTTTGTCAGTTGCAGTAAGCTTTTGTTAAGATAATATAGTCCGTAACGTGTTATATGGGAGTCTTTTTTCAGAACCAATTATAATACCAACATGTCAAAATGGAGTGAAAACAATAGATAGTTATAAAAGAGATCGAACATGGCGGTATGATATGATAATTCCCTACTGTATCAAATTAGTCCTTTTCGTGAAGATTGAGGCTGTAAAATGAAAACGATGATGACATACCAGATATGCTTAAAAAAAAGTAGCGCCCTAGAAATAATGTGTTTTTACCAGGTAGAATTGGATGTGGATTTAAAAACTTTTCAAAAAAGTTGACAGAACTGTATGAATGTTTCCTGACTATGTGAGTCGTTTGAAAAATGTGGAAAAACAACATTTTCGACGGCAGTATCAATGCATCTTTTCTATTTCCCGCTTGAAATTTTCATTTCCATCAATGGCCGACATCTGTTTGTATAGTAAATATGGCGCAAAATGTACTTGAAACCAATTTCTTTTCTCTAATGCTTGATTAAAACCTTTAGGTAATGGTAAGGCATTTTATGAGACGATTTCTTCCTGTTGAAGTACTTTATGCATATTCAAATCCATTCTTATGACTATTTGCTCCTGGGTATGACAACAAAGCTTCTAAAATGATAAGATTGATTTATGAAGGTTAATAGATAATGCCTTCATAAAACTATAAAGCTTTAAGAACATCCTGGCTAGTGATCATTGGCAGTGTTTTTTTTTTATCGATTGGAGCGCACGAAAGGGAATCCCTATAATGTTCAAAGAACATCGTGCGTTCCTAGGGAGGATAGGGACAGGAGGTAGGTATTGGAATTTTTTTTGAATTTTTGGAGATTATATGTTGTTGGGAATACTTCCACAGGCAATGAATTCCAGAGCCTAGCCGTTCTATGGATGAAGGAGTTTTGATAAAGTGCTGTTCGACATCTTTCGAGGTTGACAACGAAAGGATGTGCTGACTGGGCTTGTCTAGTTCGTCTGATTGGTATTGCTAGTGAAGGGATGATTGCAGAGATTTCCGAAGAACATTTCCCGTGGAAGTATCGATAGAAAAGTGAAAGGTCGCCGACCTTTCTACGGTGTTCCAATGATGTCAAAGAGTGAGTGAGTGTGGCGTCACCCACCAGGCGAATGGCTCTTCTCTGGATAGAATCTAAGAGCATCAGCGTATGTTTTGGTGCTGAACCCCATATGTGGAAACAGTATTCTTGCAAAAAGTAGAAGAACGTCATCAACATGATTAACATAGCCCTACAATTGTTATTTACACTGTTCACTTCGTGAGTTTTGTGATTGGTTTCAAGTAGGAAACCGACTAGGAAACATAAACATAGACAAACTACACTCAGTGCAGTTTACCTGATATTGTGTTGAATGCTCCATCCTCTCGAATTCATGCTGAACTCGCCATCTGACATAATTTTTGCAAAACTGTTGTGAACCTTCTCGCTTCCTAGTTCCCATTCAGACAGAAGCATGATGATCAGACGTATTTTCCATTACGTTCTGATCTGATCCTAATGAATTCTTGCTATTTGGTTATTTCAGGTGGGATGAATTGAAAGACGCAATGTTTGGAATTGCTTGGGCTTGAGTAGTCTGATTTACTGTTGCTCTCACGACTTGATTTTTGATTCTTAAGTAATTGTCTCCATTTTTTCGCTTGAAGTTGCCATTTCTCTTAATTTCACACTATTTATTTTCTGTGAGTTCATTTCAACGTGAGTCGTTTGTGGGTAAAAAAATACGAACATTCATATTATGGGATTTGGGTTTAACACGGCTTCAAAAAAACTTCATAAATCCTATAGATTTTATAATTGACTTCGATGAATTCATTGTGGCTAATTGGTTTTAATAATTACTTTCACATAGCTAGAATAATAGCATTAGGTTTCATTATTGCCTCAGTCAAATCCTAATTGACCTAGCGTAAATTTGGTTTTATGATTGCTTCATGACGTATTTTCATAGGATTATTTCAGAACCTCTTGGTCAATTCAATTCAATTCAATGCCTCTCACAGAGCTTTCTTAAAACCGAAGTGAGCTGAATGCCGAATTGTTTTATGCGATAGTTCTATCACCTTTCAATAGGATTATATGGACATGAAGGCCAATATGCTTTTTCCAGGGCATTCATAAAACGGTAGAACGAATTAGACCTAACATTTTTTTATCGCTCGGAGCGCACGAAAGGAAATCCCTATGATGTTCAAAGAACATCGTGCGTTCCTAGGGAGGATAGGGACAGGAGGTAGGTATTGGAAATTTTTTTGAACTTCTGGAGATTATATGTTGTTGGGAATACTTCCCCAGGCATTTAAAATGTTACTTGGGGCTAGAGAGTATTCTACTCAAATATACCTTCTATGGGCCAGATGACTCCGCTGAGCAGCAAGGTGGGATAGAAGCTGCCCAGAGCCAGCTGGATGGCGTTTCTCTCCAGCTCGCAGATGGCCGAAATGACGAAACCGAAGCACATGCCGCAGAGCCCTTGCAGGATCGTTATCACTATCACGAGGAAGATGTCTCCGCGACATTCCACTTTGAAAACTAATATCATGAAGATGAGCACCAAAGCCGTTTGTCCGCACATCACGACGAATTGGGTGACCACATGGGAAAAGAGAATTTCTCCAGGAGATACACCTAGAAAAAAAAGTCATGATGACATATGCTCCCAACCCTGCAAACACTGAGCAGTAACTTTATAATACTATGGAAGTAATTTTGCAACTAAAATCCGCGTGCGATGTACTTACCTGTGTACAGGGTATCCCACATAACATGGACCACCCCCTTATCTGGTAAACTATTATATATACAGAAAAAAGTTCAGAATAAAAGTTGTATTACTTCTTATGAAATTTATTTTTTAGATACTTTCATTTATACAGGATGGTCTATATGTCTGTGACTTATCACACATACGTTTTTTCAAATAGAATACCCTATATTTCATCATATTTTCAGATAGTAGGTACTTCAGAAGACGAGTTCAATGATATAATAACATGGGTCTGAGATCATCCGTTTCGGATTTATACACGATCTTCTTCAATAAATTGCCAAATTTCGAAGCCCTATAGAAACGTTGCGAATGAAGTTTTCGATTCGCAGTTTCCGCTATAAATTAACAAAGTCTGTATATTATTCTGTTCTATGGTGAAAATTTAGGAATTTTCAATTTTCCAAAAGTGATGACGTATTTTGAAAACCAATAAATATCTCGAGATTTTCAAATGGAACACCCTATATTCCATTCCAAATTTGCATAGAGCTCAGGAAGACGAGTTCAATGATATATCATAACATGTGTCTGATATCACCCGTTTCGGACTTATACACGATCTTCTTCAATAAATTGCCCAATTTCAAAGCCCTATAGAAACGTTGTGAATGAAGTTTACGATTCGCAGTTCCCGCTATGAATTAACAAATTTTGTATGTTTTCTTGATCCATGGTAAGAGTTTATGAATTTCGCATTGGCCAAAAGTGATGATGTATTTTGAAAAACGATAATTTTTTACAAATTTTCGAATGGAACACCACCCTATTTCATTCCATCTTTGGATGAAGCTCAGAATGACGAGTTCAATGATATATTATAATATGGGTCTGAGATCACCCGTTTCGGACTTATACACGATCTTCTTGAAAAAATAATCAAATTTCAATGGCAAAATTCTGACTGTTATCTTCATATTAGATAAAAATTTTGTAATTTCTGTGAAACAATTCGTAATAAAGAGTTTTGAAAACAACGAATATTATCGAAATTTTTATGATCATTTCCTTTAGATTTTTTCTTATGGGGTGCTTTGAAAAACAAAGTTTATGAAAATCGATGTGACAACATAGAACAATTAAAAGAAAATATACGAGTCGCAATCGTGAATTTGAATGAATCACATGCAGTAGCAAATACACTGAGACATATCGCGATAAGATATACTACGTGCATGGCTGAAAATGGACGGTATATAGAAAATTTGATTTGACTACTTTGTATATTCAATTGAATACTATATCTGTTTGATACTGTTGTCATGTTTGCTCGTTTTCTCAGTTACTGTTAGTTTTTTTGTTTGACTATTCATTAAAGAAGATCGTGTATAAGTCCGAAACGGGTGATCTCAGACCCATGTTATTATAGATCATTGAACTCGTCTTTCTGAGTTCTATGCAAATATGGAATAAAATATTGGGTGTTCCATTTGAAAATCTCGAGATAATTATTGGTTTTCAAAATACGTCATCACTTTTGGCAAATTCAAAATTTCTAAATTTTCACCATAGAAAAAAATAATATACAGACTTTGTTAATTTATAGCAAAAGTTGCGAATCGAAAACTTCATTCACAACGTTTCTATAGGGCTTTGAAATTAGACAATTTATTGAAGAAGATCGTGTATAAATCCGAAACGAGTGACCTCAGACCCATGTTATTATATATCATTGAACTCGTCTTCTGGAGTACTATCTAAAAATATGATGAAATATAGGGTGTTCCATTTGAAAAAACGTATTTGTGATATGCCACAGACATATGGATCATCCTGTATAAATGACAGTATCTAAAAATTAAATGTCATAAGAAGTTATACACTTTTTATTCTGAACTTTCTTCTGTATATATAATAGTTTACCAGATAAGGGGGTGGCCCAAGTTATGTGGGATACCCTGTACCACTAAGAAAGAACGCCGGCTGTATCACGGAAACCATCTGCCGCACAGGTTTCGGAAAAAATATTTATGATAAAAGTGGCCAAGAAAAATTTCTGGAAATTATTTTTAAGTTTCCAGGACAGCCGCTAGAGGGCATAATTGCATTGGCCAACTTAAAAAACGGGTTTTTATGAAAATTTTATATATCAAGTCATATCAGAAACACTTCTTTCATATTCTCGAGTTCATTTCCAATCATTTCGTTCAAAATAAAATTGCGCTAGCTCTTTAAATGAAAGAGGGAGGGAAGAATGAATAGTACTTTGAAAAAACTCTCATCACTACAGTTTGTTATAACGGAATTCAACGATCTTGGTCTCATTATGAAGGTTTTTTTCGGTTCTTCCAGATGAATCACGAATCAAGTCGATTTAAATCCCGTGGTGGCCGCTAGATGGCATTGCTTGAAAAATCAGCCCCTCTAGAGGCTGTCCTGGAAACTTGAAAATAATTTCCAGAGATTTCTCTTGGCCACTTTCATCATTCATATTTTTTTTCGAAACCTGTGCGGCAAATAGTTTTCGAGATACAGCCGACGTCCTTTCTCAGTGGTACACCCGGTACAGGGTGGGCAAAATTGGGCGTTTTATTTCAATAACTAAAGGAGTTATCGAAAAACTGATATACATGTCACGGGTTCGATTCAAAAGGAACCTAAAATGGCGCATTCTGAACTTTGATATCCTCATTCATTTCAGAGATACAGGGGGAAATTGAAGAATAGTCGATTTCGTTTTTATTTTCTGAGTGCTTTATGGTGAGGAATATTGAAAATATTCGAAAGTTCATTCATATAGAATGATGCGAACAATCCATGGGCACCATTAAAAATATATTATATTTATACGAGGTGACATTAAAAAGATACGGCATCCAATTATATTTTTCCTCATGGAGCACCCGTATATTTTGGCACAGGTAGATAGTACCAGGCGTTCCAATTTCGAATATATATATAACTCTACCTCTTTCTTTCACAATTTCAGGAATATTCGCAAAAATATATTCGGTGTGTCACATTTTCCATTTCCGTATCTTCCGCAATAATCGTTGATTTCATAAATAATTCATAAATTCGCGAATGTGAAAGAGATGTCAATGATACACTCGAGAACCTACGGAGAATACCTCCCGCTATCAATGAAAATTCAATTCAAATATTTTTTCTGCAACCGACACAAAAGTCGTCCATTTTGATACCAAAATTAGCTCTTAAATTGGCGTTTCTATTACTGACACAAAAATAGGTATGTTGCTAGGCAACATATTTAGTTCCTAGGAGCTAAAGTTGAATTTTAGTGCCTAGGAGCTAAAGTTGAACTTTAGCTCCTAGGAACTAAAAAGGATGTACTGGACGTCATCAAGAATAAACAACATTGTGACGGTTGGTTATTTGGTTTGAGACGCATACCTGATTTGTTTCCGATTTCAGCAGATTTGGCATTTCATACCCATGCTGGAGATATAAATACACCTTATTATAGTTTAGTATTGGAATTATAAACATCTCAGCTGGGTATTTTTGTTTGATCAGGCAAGCCTTCAAGATTCTTATACTTGCTTGATCTGTATTTCATTCGTTATTCTCGGGATGGATACCTTGTTTTTGAATAATCACGGCAAGCAATAGTTTTTTGTCTCAAACAACGATATATATTGTTTAGCTTCATTCGATTATCAAGTCAAACACAGTGTAGTATGGAGAGGAATAAATAATCACTATTATCATTGTTGATATGCTCGCTAACCTAACATTTTCCACGTCTTGTTCCTATATAGCTGGCACTGGCGCGGTATTTGCCATTAGAGCACCTGGTCCATACACGATTATGTCACTCTGTGGTTGTATTTTTATTATTGAAACTACAATTCGAAAATCCTTGAAAACCTAACCTGCTTTTAATGCAGGTAGAATATTCTCACCACACGGATTATATTTTTGTCAATATTTGTTGCATTGCATACATATGGCAGGGCATTGGTGGTAACTTGACATATTTATTTGAGTTAATTGTTTCGGTTGCAGAAAAAATAGCATGTTTCATTCGGATCAAAAGTGACTTTGTTCAACTCGCAAATTTTGCTTTCGCTCGGCTTCGCTAAACGCTCCGCCTCGCAAATGCAAAATTCGCTTGTCAAACAAAGTGTCACTTTTGATCCTAATAAAACAATCTACTATTATTTCCAGACAGATGAATATTTGATAAGAAAAAAAATTATTCGATTTGATATCATTGTTATATCAATACATTCAAAATATTTAACACTGAGGAATATAGCTTTATGGAAGATGTTCAAATTGCTTTTCGTTCTGGCCTAAGCAAACTTGACATCGTTTTCTTACAGAATTTACTGCGTTAGTAAGTTGAATGGGTATCACTTTTTGGATTGCTTAAATAACGTCTTCACGCAGTTCTTCAGAGTTTGGGTGATCTCGAAAATATATATGGTTTTCTAGAAATCCTCCTTTGGTTAATATATACAGAGTGTAATTTTCAACCAATATTCTTCCTCTTGATATCATTTTCCAGAAATCTCGGTGATTCTATAACTGCTGGCGAGCAGTGTTATCACTGGAGTTATTCCCCCTAGGTCCTCGAGTGTATCATTGGCATCTTGGTTATTGCGGAAGATACGGAAATGGAAAATGTGACACACTGAATATATTTTTGCGAATATTTCTGAAATTGTGAAAGAAAAAGGTAGAGTTATATATAAATTTGAAATTGGAACGCCTGGGACTATCTAACTGTGCCAAAATATAAGGAGTGTTCCATAAGAAATAATATAATTGACTGCCGTATCTACTCAATGTAACCCTGTATAAAATTTCTAATGATGCCAATGGATTGTTCGCATCATACCCTATGAATAAATTTTCGGAAATTCTCACCATAAAGTACTCAGAAAATAAAAAAGAAAACGGCAATTTTTCAATTTTCCCCTGTTTCTCTGAAACGAATAAAGATATCAAAATTCCGACTGTACCATTTTAGGTTTCCCTAAGATCGAACCCGTAACATGTATATCGGTTTTTCGATAACTCCTTCAGTTATTGAGATAACCCGTGATAACGCCCAATTTTGCTCACCCTGTACAGTGCTAGTTTCATTAATGTAAACCCCTCTTTATTTCTTGTTGTTTTCCACCTATTGAAAAAAATTTCACGCCGGCGGGAGTAGAAATTACTTTCTCTGGTTACAAAAGAGAGGCAATAATGTCGTATATTATTCACTAGGGAGATAATGTGACATATTTTCTCCCTAGGGAGTTTATACCAACTCCACATTTTCCGCATAGCTCTGCGTTTTCTTTTCGGAACACAGGGATTTTTTGCTTCCGTCATTGTGGACATTCTTCCGTCACGTGAGGACGAGTGGAAAGATAATATTGGATGAACCAGATCATCAAACCGATGGTCCATCGGAAATTATCTTTCAACAATGGCGAAATATTCCGGAAAGTATTGATGCACTGAAACTAACTTAGATCAGTTTGAATCGCGGCACGTTTGAATATTCGCGAAGGAGACATTATCACGCCTTATCCCCCTTTATTTGCATTATTTCATCAACTAATCATCACGTGACGGAAGTTTGTTGGGAATAGTATAGCAGATCGAGGGTTGGCACAGGTATGGTTTTGAAATCTACCATTCATTTATAGGTATCGGATGTCATCTCGTTATCAAATCGTGTCATTAAATCGATTCGTTCAGGGTAGTGATGTTTTTCATGCCTTTTACATGATCATTTGAATAGTTATTTGAGACATTTGAATGACATGTTCTTGAAGTGACTTACCAGCTACCCATGACCTATCCAATAGTCCTTCCATCCTTTCTATAATAAGAGCAGATGATGTCAACGCCACAGCCAAGAAGAAAACGATCCTATGAAGAAATATTAATACTTTAGTAAGGAATCGTCAAGTTAACCTATCATCAACGTACGTGAGAATAACCCCAGGTGCCACGAAATCTGTGAAAGAAGGCTGGTTAGTTCCGTAAATCGGTTTCTTGAATGATATTGGTATCTCGGCTAGTTCTTCATTGTATTCGCAATCTCTGAATATATCCTTGGTGAAGTTCTGGTAGGCCAGTTGAAGGTCCCTCTGGAGAATTATGCCAATTTGCTGATCTGAAATAGTAATCAAGGTGTAAGTTACAGAGTTACCACATGCTCTCTCCCAAATCTACAGGGTCGTGCATCTCACCTCCCGTCTTCAATAGCTCAGTTATCAGTTGAGTCAGGATTTTGATGTTTCGCAGACTTCATTTTTACCATAGGGCGCATACCAGGAAAATATTTTCGATTATACAGGGTTTCCCAAAAAGTGAGGCGATATTTTTTTAAATTGCCATGGCACGCCTTATATCTTGTTGCACATTTGAGTGCTTCGGTTAGCGATCCTCTCAGGCCTTATTTGATATGTATCTTATGATTCTATTGACCAGGCACTCTCTTCTTTGTTATTAATGTTTTTTTGACCAGTGGTGCAAAATTTAGTTTTTTTGTTATACTTTTTTTCACGTGAATATCACTGAACCGATTTCAATTCAATTCCAAAAGTATGTAGGTAACTACTGGAAGCACTCAAATGTGCAACATCATATATGGCATATGCCATTAAAAAAATATATCATTATGACGTCACACTCTTTTGGGACATCCTGTATAATAGGAATTATTTTCCTGGTATGCGCCCTATGAAACGATTGGAATTTGTGAAATACCAAACTCATGACTCGACTGATAACTGACCTATAGAAGACAAGAGGTGAGATGCAGGAACCTGTATAACAAGAGTCTGGCAGTCTTGCAGCGTCCACGACATGATACATATTGTATAGTGGGTGTCCCATTGAGAAACCAAAAAAATTTCAACAGTGGGTAGAGCTCATCAAAGTGGTTCTGATTATACCATATTTGTAGGGTCTCACAAGTTTCATATCCAAGATATAGGGTGTTTTATCAATTTTGCTCAATTCTTTGTGCGAGGACATAACTCACGAACCACCCGGTATATTCTTTTGGAATTTGTCTTCCCCGTTTTGAAGAAGCGACTCATTTATCAGTCACGAGTGAAATTCAGGTGAGGATTGACGGAAATTGATCATATTCTGGAAACCAAAAAGAACACCCAAAATTTTCAAATTTCCGAAATCCGCTTACATATTTGAAAAAATCACAAAATGCTGAATCGAATAATTGTTCACTAGTTAATTATTCCGCATGCTCTTTCACTAATGAATTTGAGCTTTGATATATGCATTAGTAGAAAATTTTTGAGTTTTCCTGAATAACAAAAATGACAGCAATAAGCTCTGATCTCTCATTGAACAGACATCGTCAGCGCATTTGTAACCTGCATAAGCCAGTGTGTCTTCACATATTTCAATTTTACTATCGATTTCTCATGCATGTATTTTTGGCAAGGAATTGAACGAATCAATCGATATAATGACATATCATTCATTGTTGAAACAATTTCATTTCTCCAAATATTAGAAACTACCTACTTACCATTTTGATCCAAACATCTTGCAAATGTTATAATTTTTGTTTCATGTTGAGAAGGACGATTTTTCATTATTTATATTGTTCTAATATTTGAGGAAATACAACATTTCTAACAGTGATATGTCATTATATCGATTGATTGGTGCCATATTCTATCCACGAATACATAATAAGTAGTCAATAGTGATTTTCACATATAGGAGAAGAAACAACACTGGCTTATTCATCCAGGATACAATGGCTTGCGGGAAAATGAAAAGTACACCAGTCAGCTTCTTGTGCACTATTCAAATATATGTAGACGGATTTTGTAAATTCGAATAGACAGGATGTTCTCATTGGGGTCCAGAAAAATGATCAATTTTCGTGAATCCGGACCTGGATTTAATTTATGAATGATAGGTGAGTCGCTTGGGTAGAAGGAGGAGGACTTGTGTACTGAATTTCGAAAGAATACACTGAGTAATTCGTTAGTTATGCCTCCACAAGGAAACGATCGAAATTGATAAAACACCCTATATCTTGGGTGTAAAACTTGTGAGATCCTCAAAAGATATGGTATATTCAGAACTACCTTGATGAGCTCTACCCACCGTTGAAGTTTTTCCGTTTCGCAATGGGACACTCTGATGTATACAGTATGTCGTATCCTGTATAAAAGAAGGCGAGACTGTTGTTATAGAATTAATTCAACCAGGTTTAATTTGGGACAGCAGGTGATCACGTATGCAAGCAAAGCGGCCCTACGTCGAACCAAGTGTTGTCCCAAAGATAACCTGGTAGGTCTCTACAATGAAACCATTATAGACCAGGAGATGGTTGCAGGTGACGGTCTCCCATTTTACACTGTATGCATTTTCAAGGCCGCTGCACGTGTGGACTTCATAAGGAAAAGCGCTTCCTTTGTGAAGAGTTTTCATGTTTTACCGCAATATTATACTGTCTGCCGTGGTGATATACAGAAGTTCAAACAAACTGAAGCGTTCATAATTGATGGCAGGCGCAATCCGCAGCGGCCGAAAGGGCTCAAAAGAGTTGTGAAGAATTGAAGTTTCAGTAACAAAAACACACCGGAGAAATTAACATGCTCCCCTCGTTCGGATTTTGGAAAATGGAGGCATATGCTTGGCGAAAGTTGAAAAAAACACTCATTTGAAATTTTTACAGTTTTCCCGAAATTTTCCACCGTTAGTCTGACGAGGGGCGCATGCCAATTTTTTCGGAGTGTTTTTGTTACTTGAAATTCAATTCTTTACATAGGCATGCAGCAATTTGAGAACACGGAAATCACTTTTAATTTTCTTCAGTTTTTCGTAACCCTTTTGAGCATGCCCTCAATTATCAGCGCTTCAGTTTGAATTTCCGTATATTATAACGGCAGGCAGTATAATATCGCGGAAAACAGGAGCATTCTTCATAAAAAAGCTCTCTTCTTTATGAAGTGCATACGTGCGGCGGCCAAGAACCCGTCTATTGTTCATATTTTGGGGTTAATCTGAGGCCTCAAAAAGGCATGCAGTTTGAAATATGAGAACGTCGCACATGTCACCATTTCCTGGTCTATGATGTATGGAACCTACTCGACATATCCAGCCAAACCCGGACCTCGCTCTGGTCCAACGTTTCTTCGTCCGCGTCCTTTCCCAGGGCCATCCTGGCCACCAGGGCGTCCGTGTAGTTCTCCGTGAAGTAGAGGGCGCCCCACGCTTCGCCCCGTTTCACCGCCAGCCGGGCCGATTCCGGATCTGGGTAGTACTGCTTCACTATCGTCGAGGTGTTGAGCGTGTGCAGATACCTACGAAAATACACTTTTGTATTATTGCATGTTTCTTTCATTTGATTCAACCATCTGAGGCGATCCATCTTACAGTGGCAATAGGACAGTACGAAATTCATACAGTCTACTCCACCAAAACTATACTTCATTATAAGCAAACTTACGGGGACATGTTTCGAAGCCTTAAAGCTTCATCATCAGCATTTTTGTTACATAGGAGCACTAAAGTGAGAGAAAAACAAAGAACAATGTTAGAAAAACCCCTCAACAACGATAGGTTTAACCATCTGAGTCGATCCATCTTGCGAGCTTTCCTGGTTCAATGTCCAGCAATGTTGGAATCCTTGCGATATAAATGATTATGAGATTTCTTCGATTATTTTTTACACTAATTTTTTGACGAAGGTGATCCGCAGTTAATTGCGGTCCCTGTTTTGTTAAATGTTTTACATTTGAATTTGTAATAATATTATGTAAACCATAATTTTTTGTTTTCGACATGTGAATTTTCCCCAGAACAGTACTTCCTGTAACAATTTTGTTGATGATGAAGCTTTGAAGCTTCGAAACATGTCCCAATTTTCAATTTGAATAAAGTATAGGTAGTTTTGGTGGTGATTGGAAAGGAATATTCTCAGATATATTTATGAACACAAAAAAATGGACATAAAGAAATACATTGAGAATTCGCATCCTCCATGTGATGAAAATGATAATTCTCTCTCGGTTCAATCAAGTCTCAAGACTTGTAGTTCAGTTGAGTGGCCAGTTCTGAAACCGAACTGCTCATCTGGTATCAGCCTCGTTGTCGTCGATAAATTCCTGTAACCTCTGTTTAATCACTAACTCAGTTATTTTTTATGGGGGGCACAGGAGACTGATAGGGCAATAGCTCTTGTCGTTTAAGAAAACCAGGTTCGTCATTTCAGTGATTACGAGGGGAAATCAAGAAACTCAGAAAACAATCTTGTATTGTTGAAAATGCGCTGCACGCGAATTTTTCTTTGGTTCGAAGTCAAATAGCTTCAAATTGAAAATGAGATTATTTTCGAGAGTGACAACAACTCCATTTCAGTGAATACCTGGAATGTGGTCGAGAAACTCAGACGAATTCTTTGTACAAAAAAATGCGCAGCAGGCGAAAGTTTTGTTGATTTAATGTCAAATGCTGTGAAATTGAAAATTAGATTTCTTCCAGTGTGAAGTGACAATACCTTCATGACATTATTATATTATATTATTATTTTCTTGGATTTTGTCTCATAGTTTTTTTTAATGAAATATCCTTTGGCTAAGTGTAGAATCATAGCAGCATCAAGATGAAACAAGTCATATTATCTAGTATGATGTTCATGGATTTGGGAATGCCTTACCAATATAGTCAGAAGAAGAAACAAAAAGAATTTGATAAGATAATGAAATATTGGGTGTTCCATATGAAGAATCATTAGATTCCGCGTAAAATTCTGTAAGATAAAATTTCAATTTGACATTTTCGCTGAGAAACATCCTAGATATAGAGGGGGTCCAAAAAGTATAAATTTTCTAAATCGCCCTGTATCATAAACAGAAACAGTTATGCAAAATCTGATAACGCCATCTTGAGTTTCACAGAAAAGTGGTACGAGACCGCGAAAGCCGCAAGGTTCTATCTCCGAAGATAACTGCATGACCCAGCAAACACGACATGAATGGCCCATTGATTTGATCAATGGCATACTGCTGGCACTCTTTTTCGGTGATGAAAAAGTGCTTGTTCATCGCTTGAAACTTTGTTTTCATCTGACTATTGTTGTAGTAGGCTAGGTAATATGCATTTCTGATTTATAGGTAATAAGCTACCTGGAATTCACAAATATAATACCTAGTTCATTCCAGATACCAAAGAAGAGACGTTCTCGAGTTTTGGCCCTGTTTCCAGATCACAATATCAATAAACAGGAACAGAATTCGTTCACTTTTGACAGATTGAGCAGATCAGATATGTAATGCAAGAAGTTTCCTTGTAGTAATTATCATCATTTTTATTATTATTGAACTATTATTTTCTCTACGTAACCTCAAAATCATCTGTGTATAAGATTAAACCACTGCTTAATTTCCATTAGGAATGCACTGAATAAGATACGTCAGTCAGTCATCACTGGACCAACAATCAACAAGCAATGAGTAGAAGTACACTGCTTGGCCAATATTGGCGTTAGGTCGGCCAATGGGCATCTTTTGTGATTTACCAATGAAAAATGACAATATTGAGCTAATGGGGTTATATTGCTGTACAAGTAATAGCCCATGTATTAATGTTTGCTGGGTGAGATATCACGCAAAGGCATCGAAAACTGCCCAGATAACACCGATCTCCTTGAGAACTAACGGCCGACTATAAAAACTGTGCGCATTTAAAGTTCGTAGTTCGTGGTCAGATACTTGGAAAGTGCTCAAAAACTCATCCTCCATGATACGGATTTGCAAGCGCATATACGTTGGTAGCTGAGCGCTCCTATCAATGGTGAATTGAAATTTTGTTGCCGCTGTAGCACTTCTGAGTCAATAATTCAATCGCCGGTAATGTGTATGAAAAAGTACATGAACTGCGTGCGTTACAAATGCTAGGCCGATAGTCGTTGGTGTTATCCGAGGATTATTAACTCTCAACGGTAAATAATCTTTGGGTGTAATTTGGGTGGACACACAGTACATAGGGTGCTTTCGTATTTACCTACAACTCAGGTTCCCAAACTTGCAACCCGGCTCGAAATCGCACTCCTGGTATGTCAAGTTCGTGTAGTTCTTCTCGTGGTTGACGATGGCCAGCTTGAGTCCGCGAGGATCCCCCCCGATGGCCAGACAGAAAAGGATGACCTGCGTGAAATTAGATATACACTCATTACTATAATTCGAAATATAACAAGTTGAATGCCATGAGGGCTGCGTCTGTCAAACGTCATACTTCCATACGTAAAACTTATTAAGCATTGGTGGAAGTCCATATTGCTCAAAGTGGAGTGAAATTTTTCAAATGAAGGAAGGAATGCTCGAAGTCATCTCCACAAATTTTGATGGTGTTGTGATACAACTTTATTGCGTTTTCCACTCGCCGATTCACAGAGCGCACTAGCACAGATCCAGTACAAGTGGCACTGGCTCGGTTCTTCCATAAAGTGCGGTGCAATGGAATATCAAAAAGTTGAATTATTGAAAGTACATTTGGTTCTGTTGGTCCACATGAAATGGATTCATCTACCTCTTATTGTGGTTTGCCTGTGAACACTGCCAGAAACCAGCAAGAAACAGTCTTATATATGAATGTTCATTGTTAATGATGTTCAATTGAATCATTCAACAATAGTGATAGTACCAATGAAGTGTTCTTCACGAAGTTAATATTTTTCATCATTTACTGAATCAAAAATCAAATATGTTTAATACCTGCACATCTGAATAGCTTTCTTTAACTTCCAGGTAATTTTGAATCTTCCTTTCAATACCGACGCCGTACTGTGTACCTCAATTTCTGCACTTGCAGTAATTTGAAATCAAAGAAGTTCATGTTGAAAGTATATATGATTGAGATTGGAAAAACAATATCACCTTCCTGATCTACACCTATTAGGGGATGCAGTTTTCATCGGCAAATATCAATAGTGGCTCATTTTGTCTTCTAGTCTGGTTCAAAATATTATAAAACTCCTATCTCTATTTCTTAGTTTGTGAACTCAGGTAGTATATATTGATATTTTGCAATCGCTTGTTTATGTTATTAACGTTCAGGATATCTTCAAGAACTCGCATCAAGAAGTACTTGTTCGTGTTTCTCTCGGGATGACTTGAATAACTCGCGCAATAAGAATTCCTGATTCTCGTTACGTTCTGGTCAACTGTAGGAACTTGCAGTGAGAATATCTGCTTCTTGTTACATACGTGCATATCTTCAGAAATTCGCAGCAAGCATTTCTTATTCAGGTTGGAGTTCCAGCTAGCTTAAGGAACTCGCATCAACAAGAATTTCCGATTTCGGTTACTTTCGTGATAACTTTTGGAAATGAAATCGATAACTGAAAGATGAGATCTGAAAGATTTATGCTTGGAACATTGATGAGATGAAACTCTGGTGTTTATATACACTTTTCAATTCTTTCCTGTTTTACAGTCCCTTGATTTTCACCTATTTCGATAAACATAACATGGCGTGGGTGAATCTCGCTAAGTTGAGTCTGGTGCCGTACCAAAATTACAGGAATCAATGTGATAATTGTTACCGAATTGTGAACAATGAAGAAGATTTTGCGATTTAGCCGCATCAAGATTGGTAGAACTGATGTTGATCTCAAGTTCTAGGAATCACGCCATCTAACATCGAATATGTGAAACCCACGTCATCGTCTGAAATTTAATTGTTTATATCAAGAACCAGCTAGTCTGACGAAACAAATGAAGAGTGAGCGCACCAGAGATTTATTTCATCAATGTTGGAACTCCAAAAAAAACTCAGCTACGCACATAAAGATCTTTGCAATTTCACCATAGGAGTTCGCATATGATCCTGATGATGATCTCTCTGAGATCTCGTGGAGAGGTCTCTGTTCACCTGGGAGCCATGTTTACTTTCTATTTTACCGTTTTTTATCGTTTGCGAAATAAAATAAAAAACCCATCTTGGATACCTGCATGACGGGCAGCGCGAAAATAAACAGCATAACGCCCACATTCCGCCACATACGCAGGAAGTTCTTTTGCAGAAGGGCCTTCAGTTTGCCCACGGTGGTCCAATCGCTGCAGCTACCGCAGTCGTCGCAGACTTCTTGGATGCCTCGAGACGCGGACGAGGAACCGCCCACCTGTGGATAAAGGAAAGAAATCGTTATTAATATACCAAGGCAATAATAGCTATCTATATATCAAGGGAGGAAAGGTATAAATATAGCGGAGGGCATCAAACACACATGGGAGGAAATGAACATTCTTGAAATTGTGCTCCAGGCGGTCTATCTCTCGATTATAGTTATTTATGTATCAAGGGCGTAAAGTAGGGGTATATGGCCTGTGGCGTGAATTATGGCCCAATGGCGCTAGCCGAGGGCCATTACAAGCTGAAGGCCATAAACGCATTTTACGCACGTGATACTTACAAAATTTTATGCACTAGTGGTTTATTTCCCGATTCACAAGTAATTACTAGATTTCAACAAACTACAATTCATATGTCACTCATAAATTCAGTTTTCAAGAGAGGCGCAATGTTTATGTCGAGGATTATGTGTATAATCTACATATTAAAATCACCGTACGAATATCGCAATTATCGTAAGAGTAAATCTCTTCGTTCACTAACAGAGATTCATTCCTTGAGATGTAAAAATATGTATACCCACTATATTATAGCTACCTGAATTTGACGTTGTCAGTCAATCTGATGGTTGCTGTCTAGCAATACATCCAAAAAACAAGCTGAAATTGTCATCTTTTCGCTGAAAATTTCAGACAGCCAGAAAGCAACTATTCAAAGAAGGAAGTTATAGCGAAGATGGAATCGGATTAACAATATAACATGTATATCATAATCATAACGATAGAATCAGCGGAGAGATCAAATATGGAGAATACCCTCCAAATGGATGTGTGGATCTTGAGAACAGCAGGCGGCAAAGTGCACTTTATGGCCCGTGGGCGATAATGGGCCCGCGGGCGCTGAAGTACTACTTTACGCCCGCAAATCTGGGCGAAAAAGTGCACTTTACTGTCCGCTAGTGCATGAAAATCATTATGAATTACAAAGGTATAGTATATGCATGGACAATTGACGGCATTTGAACGAAAGTCATTTTGACACTTCTGTCATCATGAACTAATTGATTTTGTATATTGTGTAACTGCATTTGAAAGTTTTGATTAGAAATACGTTCAGATTATGAGAAAGCGTATGATATCATTGGAATTGAAACAGGATATCATTGTTTCTTGTTTTATTATAGTGATAAAGACACTGCATGTCTACTTGGATTGCACAGATTTCATAGGTATATCGACGCTAAAGGATGTATGCTGAAGCCAATTTATTTTTCCTTCCACGGGAGTCAATATTTTTTTCCTCTCGTGGGAGTACATTGAGAACTTTGTTTCCTTGAAAGAGGGAGCAAACGCTTACTTTCGATGCAGTAGATAAGGAATATTGTTGGGGGGTACTTGAGGTGAGGAGGTCGAAGAACCATATAGGGTTGAATAGGTGGACCAGGATATTTCTTTTCTATTACGTGTATTCGTCAATTCGTTATAATAATAATCTTGAGAACAGACAATACCTACTGATCAAAATTGAGGATATTGACAACTTGTCAGAACAATTAGGGAAACTGTCGATAATTATTTTTTAGTTGCTCATAGACACATTCATGTTCATGATTAATACAGGGAGATGAATTGTTAGGAAGTTCACACCAACCTCCGGCCCATGAAGCGCATAATGACTCGAAAGGTAAGGGACATAATTTGGTGATTGGGCGGATATAAAAGGGACTTTATTTGTTTTGATTTTAACAACTCGTACCCGGTTTTATTCTAACTATCCTAGCCAAAACCCCTTCAAGAGGCGGTACATTATCCTCTTCTACTAACACGACCATATTTTCTTTGAGATTTTCGGATGATTTCATCCATTCAGGACGGTGTTGCAATCTATTCAGATATTCCAGTAACCATTTATCCCAAGAGTAGCTAAGTAATTTACTGCATTGCTCCCACATTTTCAAACGATTATCGGGTATATTTGAGAATTTTTTTTATGGAAAAGCTGCAAGAGAATCTTCTATGAGAAAATGTGCTGGTGTAAGAACACCTATATCTTAAGGATCTATTAAGTATGGATTCTATTTGTGCTCAAAGAGTAGTCAAATGTTCGAATATAGAAATTAGAAACTTCTGACCTGGTGAATCCTCGGGCTCTGAGAAATATTCAGGCGATAAACTTCTTACTTCCGTCTTCTTCGAAGCAGCTGAGAGCGGTTGAAATCCGATGTTTTTGTCAATAACCTTTGACGAGAGAGCGACTTCTTCAAAAGTTGAAACCTTTGCGAATATTGTTTGAGAGCAGAAAAATGTCTTCCACTGGTTGCCGATCCGGCTCGATGAGACCATATATGTTGAGGGAGTCGAAGGATCATATAGGGTTGAAAAGGTAGACCAGAAGATTTCTTTACTATCACGTGTATTCGTCAATTCGTCATAATAAACTTGAGGACAGACAATACCAATAAAAATTGAGGATATTAACAACTTGTCAGAACTATTAGGGAAACTGTCGATGATCGTTTTTTAGTTGCTCATACCACCGAGGTGTATAATGAATTTTTTTCACCACTAGCAAAATACATATTCATATCATTGGGAGTGGACTGTTCTAGTTCATAGATGTAAAACCAGAGTCATCTCCACAACTTTTTTTCAACTATCATCAAAGTTCATTCGTAAAAGTACATGTTTCGGGCTTATATGAGCTTAACTAGTTAGAAGTTATGGAAGTAAAAGAGTTGAAATTTAAATAAAGTAGACAGTAACAGAGCAATCGTGCCCTTAAATTATCGATTGACCATCAGGAAAATGAGAGAAATGGTTACCTCAGCCACAGTTTGAGGAATGATACCCAGCTTCAGAATCGATGTCAATTACCTTTAACTCGTCTGATCATCAAGCAGCGAATGGAGGTCTCCTTTATCGAATCGGTCCAGTGTCACTTGGCTGATATTTTCACAAGTTCTTCCTTTGCATACACCGCAAATCGTTTAAAATCTCAATCCTGCTCTCCTGCATCTGCAGGCTCTACCACAAGCCGCCTTGCACTCACAAGATAAAAAAAGAAAGTAGTGCTTTGGATCTTTTGATGAAGTTACTGGAGTGAGGCCAGTTTGTGTTTTTTCAACCCCATTATTCAACTAGTTTCGGACAGCCACGCCATAGTTGAACCTGATATCATGATCTCAATGAATGCTGTCGTGCAGCTTTGTTTGTTGATGATTAAGATGCCATATTGTATTTAATTTTTGTTACCGACTTCACAAAACTCTGAAATCGATATTTATCAAGATAGATGATTTATCATTTGTGTCTTTGGATCCATAAAGTGCATACTGGCTTCACTCAAGTAACTATTTTGAAAGATCCTGCTGCACTACTTGCATTTTATCTTGTAAGTGCAGGACAGGTTGTGGTAGAGCCTGCGGATGCAGGAATGCAGGACTGAGATGTTCAATGATTGGTGGTGTCTGCAATGGAAGAACTTGTGAAAATATCAGCCAAGCACTAGACGAATCCGATGGAGAAGATCTCCTTTCGCTGCTTGATGATTCTTCATCGACCACATAGGGAGAATCCATTTTCCCCGTTGAAGATATGGAAATTAACGAGCCAGGTCCGGCCAGCCTCTGCCAAAAATAATTTTAGTACCTAAATGAATTAGGCTTACAGGAGAAACCACGAAAAAGAAATGCACCCTCTTGGGTGGTGTGAAAACAAGTACAGCATTTTAAATCGAAATTAATTGATTATAAACTATTAAGATGGATTAGATAACAAGTTAATGAATGAATAAAAGATGTTCGTGATGAATATGTATGAAGTCCCAGAATATTATATTTGGGAACCTCTAATACACATATAATTTCCGAAATTCGTAGAAGTTTTAGTTTGGCGGAAGTATTTGTATATATTTCAATATGAAATTTCCTCTAGTCAGCAAGCTATACATATAACGAGAAACCAATTGAATAGCCCATTTTATTATAAAAGATACATTTATACCCATATATGAAGATAGTTAAGGGCGGTTTATAGAGATTGATAGATTCAATCAGTTCTTGAGCCTAAACGGCTCACTTTAGCGAAAATATACTCGGAACATCACTTGTAGACAATTTTTTCATCCTCATTTTGTGTCATATTTTTCGGCAAATGCACAGTTTTGCAGATATTTGAAAAAAACCGTTTTTGGGCGCCATCTTGGCAAGATGGCGACGCCAGCGGCATGTATATGAGCCTACAAAAGTTTCAAAACTTCCGGACTCATTTCCAGGTAAAAATCTCCAATGACTGGCCTACATTTAGCAATACTCACATCTAGATGCCCGTTGCTGTCAGTCACTAGAACTTCTTTGCTCTGATGGAAATTGAGGCCGACCACTCCGCTCTCTTCAGTCACTGATATTGAGTCCTTCTTCCCCCAGTTCAGATTGGCTAAGCTAATGTTATTGCTGACGTCAGCTCCAACTTGTACTTGTTTCCTAGATAGTTTCAAGAATACTTCTTCCAAGGACGTACAGCCGTACATGGATAAGAGGACGTGGGGAGATTCTTCTGCCAATAGTTTACCACTTCTCATTAGACCAATCTGAAAAAAAAACGTACTAGTAAAATTCATAATTTGAATTGCATGGATTATAAGTTGGATTTTTCGTTAGATCAACCATACTCATGTCATAGAAAAATGCTTTGGTTTCGAAATGTATATGGTTAATTCAGTATTGTCTATAGAAAGTCAGTTGGAGCGTTTGTCAATTAAACAGGAAATTGATGTTCATCATACATGGCGTAGAAAAAATTTTGAATTACAAAAATCCAACCTGTGAATGTCCGCCACGTGCACTGAATTAAAACGAACTTCGAAAAAAACGAAATCGCGTAGCTCTTGAATTGACTCTTCTATTACTGACACAAACAAAGGTATGTTGCTAGGCAACACTTTCAGTTCCTAGGAGCTGAAGTTGAACTAAAGCTCCTAGGAGCTGAAAAGGATGTACTAGACCATCAAGAATAATAGAAGATGGTTTTATCGACTGTCTAGCGAGTTTGGGAGCTTTAAGCGGGTTGTAGTGGACATAAAACTAATTTGAAATCACCATAGGTGTTGCAATAGTCTGCAATGTTGTGGCTAGCGTTGAAATTTCCAGAAATATAATTCCGAAAATATTCACGGTAATATTGGAAATATCATTATGTCGATGAATTAACTAGGACTGTTCGTGACGATCTGCTTGGAGTTAAAGAATGGTGCGACTGTATAACCTGCTCTCACTGAACCTATCCAAAACTAATATGATGACATTCAAATATTCTATAGATAATCTTTCATTGTGTCCACAAGTTATAATCGAAAGTAAACCTAACTGTAAGAGTTTCTTGGGCTACATATTGATGAGAGATTGAAATTTGATAGCCATGTGATGAGCCTAAGTAAAAAATTAGCGTCGGAGTGCTACGCTGTTAGAGTAGCTGCAAATGAGTTAGGCGTTGCAGTTGCAAGGATGTTATATTTTTCGCTGGTGGAATCGCATTTACGGTATGGGGTCACTTTCTGGGGAGTCTGTAACCAGCAATCATTCAATTCTATATTCGTACTACAAAAAGATACATGTGTGAAGGAAAATTTCGCGACCATTGCAATCCCTTGTTTCAGGCTCACAACATTCTCACATTTCCATGTTTCTTCATCCACGAAACTGTATGTCTGATACATATGAAATATTCTGGAAACGTAAACACTGAAGCACTTTATAACACTAAAAATACATCCAGCTTGAACCTGCCTATCCCCAATTCTAATCTCACGATGCACGAAGCATTCGATCATCTACAATAGCAGAAAGATGTATAACCATTTACCATTAGCCATAAGAACAATTCATCTACACAGTAAATTCAGAGGAGCTGTGAAAGAAATACTAATGAAAAAATCATATTATGATCTTCAGGAATTCTTCGACGAAAACGCTATTAATTAAGAGTACGCGACAATTTTTATTTCAATGAGGTATTTTGATTCAATTCTTCATGTTATGTATAAATATATTGCATCGATTTTACTTTTATATGTATATGTGTGCTTTCTTTACTTCACATTGTTTTTATCTTTCATGACGTGTCTTATTTATTATGAGACTCTGAATGAATATGTATCAACCATCTTTGTCGATGAGATAATTTTTCTTCGACAATGAAGTATATTTTTGATTGATTGATTGACATAGAAATATTGGAAATTGGTATTATAGTTATATTAAACACTAGAAATAATAAAATAAAGGAATATTTATATAAAAAAAGACATCAGTAAACACAGAACTTACACATGAACACGAATAAAGAGTTATTAAAAAAATAATGAAAATGAGATTTAGCCTTCATCGGCGTCATCGTCATCCATGTCATCATACTCAATAACATCTTATTGCCTGTCAACTTCCTCAAAATCTTCAATATAGTATCAGAAATGAAAATTAACCTATCACGCGAATTCTATTTTCTTCAGCAAGTTTTCATTGTGCGATACAAAAATTCGATGTTGCCAATAAGTTGGGAATCATCGAGCTCGGTGTATCAACTTATTGTACACGTGACGTCGGTTGGACGTTTCTCACCGTCGCCCGTCGTAGACTGAACTGAATTGTGAATAGGTATCTAAACCTGATAACTAGTGACGCACAGATAACGATGGTAAACTGCGAATTATTATTTTTCCAACCAAATGCCAAATGGCTCAGCGCGAAGTGCAAAAAAATACAAAACAGTGATTTGAATACACACAGAGCAGTGAACCAGCAAGAACACGACGCTCCCGGCTACACTAGACAATTATATTATTTATTTCGTCTAAGCTCGACGACCGTGCGATCTACCCACTATTAAGATACAAGTTCAAATGATGAAACAGGAAGACAAACAGATGAAAGATGCAATTTTTGCCGGTGGGTCCCGAAGAGACGCGAGGAGGTCCCGAACGACGCAGTACAACTAAAATTATTAGTTATGGCTAAACAATTTCTGCTATGAATAATAATAAACCTTTTACGATAAATGTATCATCAGTTGTGGCAAATAGTCAGCTGTTGTTAGTAACCCCAGAATGAGGTTTTTTAACCCCAATATAAAATTTTCATTGACTGAATAGACAACACTATGATAATTCTGTCACAAATAGTATTTTTATTGATGACAAATAATTGGCGAAAAATAGAAAAGTCATTTATAGGAAATAAGGATACGTTGTCATTGTTAATAAAATTCCAAATATTTTCAATTATCGGTACTAAAAAAATACCAACTAGACGTTTTAATTAACCAGTTTTTCTCAGTGTATAGTTAGATCATGTTTCCTCTTCACGACCATTAGGTTCTAATGTTTTCATTTCTAATAACAATCCTCCATACATATCTGACTGAGTTAGATAGTCAGATCACGTCTTCATTGATATGCACACGGAATTCGCACATGTGAAATAACCAATAGCACTGCTGATGTAAGCAGTTTAATGATCATTTGGTGGAAAATGCGTAATATTTTCCCTTGACCTAAAAGTTGTTGATTTGAGTTAAGTGGACACCATGTTTCTTGGAAACAATCATCATATTAAAATTTGGATTGAGGATATTACGGGTAACTCTTGGTGGTGGCATTCCTGAACCACATATTGTTCATTTCAATATGTGCACATCACATTATTCAGTTTAGTTTGGTTCTTGGAAATACTTCCTTTAACACAGAATGTCAAAGCATGAACGTTCTATAGACAAAATAGTGTTGACAAAGAGCGACATAGTTATCTCGAGGCCGACGTCAAAGAGATTTGCTAATTTTGCTTGTCGAGTTCGTCTAACTGGTGTTGCTTTTTTTATGTTCTGGATTCCACGAAGAGGGATATCCTCGGGGATATCCTGTAATGTTCAGAGAACATTGTGAGAACCAAGGAAAATAAGGTAGGAATTGGTGTTCTTCTTGAATTTCTGGACGTTATATGCCTCAAGGAACACCTCCCTTGGCAATGTGTTCCAGAGTCTCGCTGTTCGTTGGATGAACGAGTCTTTGGAAAGAGATGATCTGCAGGTCTCTAAAGTGACCACGAAGGAGTGCGAAGTCTCAACTCGACGGGTTAATCTCGCGGGGACTGCCAAGGGAGGAACCATTATTGATATTTCAGAAGAGCATCGTCCATGAGAATATCTACGAAATAGTGCCAGATCGCCAACTCTTCTACGTTGTTCCAGAGAAGTGAGTGAGTTTGTGAGCGAGGCATCACCCACGAGACGAATTGCCCTTTTTTGGACAGAATTCAACAGTTTTAGGGTATGTTTGGGTGCTGCACTCCAAATATGGGAACAGTATTCCAGGACAGTTCGGATCTGTGCCTTATAGATCTGCAGCAGCTGACTGGAAGTGAAATAGAGCTCCTGGCCCGAAACAGAAAACCAAGGTTTTGGGATGCACTTTTAGCAATTGATCTCACGTGATTTTCCCAAGAAAGGTTATTATTGATAGTAATACCAAGTATCGAAATGGATGTCTTCAAAGGTATGGTTACTCCTGACGAGCTTATGTTGGGCACAGTGAGATCGGCTTTTCTAGAGAAGAGGCATGCATTGTTGCCAAGTCCATATTTATGTTGTCAACATTTCTTCCTGGTTCGTTTCTGATTTGCCTGGAAGAGAAGACTGAACATGAAGTTGCTTCCAACAAATCGTTGATGATATGGAGTAAAAATAGTGTTGGTGCTAGAATTGATCCTTACGGAATACCAGCATTTATGATAAGAGAGTCAGATGAGACTCCGTCGACCACTACATGGAGAGACCTGTTCGAGAGAAAACTAGCTAGCAGAGTACATAGCTGGGGAGGCAAGCCATAAAGATGGAAGCTTGGCGAGGAGTCCGTGGTGCCAGACTCGATCGAATGCTAGTGATGAAATAATATTTCTAGAGAAAAGAAAAAAGATCGCTGTTCTCCCTATGGTATTGTTCTGAAATTGTTCTCATCCATCATTCGGTTGCACCCTTACGAACAACCCTCAGAAGATTTCAAGAGACCTGTGCGAGCAAGGAATGACGGGTGTATTACCTTTTAACGAGTGATCCCAAACACTTTCTTAGGCCATCAGAAAAATTTCTGCGGTCGTGGTGGGAATCGAACCCACTACCGGTAATCCAACGTGGATAGAACATTGACGCTTTAACCACGAGGCTACGCTGGCCAACAAGTACGTCAAGAAATTTGTTAGTGTTGAATCACCAAACAGTTGAATGTTGTTTTGGGATCCGAAATACCAACCTTTCAATTTCAGTAGATATCAGTGTTCAAATTTTGTATAATTTTTCATCATCTTCCTACGCCACTGAGCTTCTCCAAACTTATTGATTTCGTATTGAATTAATCAATTTTTTGTGGTCACTACGTCAGTAATTTAGGAAAATAAAATTTAGGGGCCTGAACCAAGACCAAATAACAAATAATTATATCCTGATTTCGAAGTCTAACAATTAGCGTCATAAACTGTGAGATGATGTTTTGTTTCAAGGGTATTTTTTTCACTGAGACATAATTATATCTACACTATAAAAGTTGTCGATGTTCATGGTTAATGAGAAAACATTAGACTCTTCATGATCACCAAAATCAACCGGTTGTTGGTAATATATTTCGACTAAAATACATACTTCTTGTTCAGTGGGTACGAGTATAAAAAAAATGATGATCAATTATAGAAAAATATCAATCTATGATATCAACAGGTGGTCATATCTATGTTTAATTGCTATTTATATATAATATCAAGGAAACAATGGTACCTATCAATTTTCTGCTGTCACACTTGTGGGAGGAAACGAACCATTGCTCCGATGTTATAAATCTGACACAAATTCCACTTCTTCCGGAAACTATTTCAACTTCCGATTTAAAATTAATCGATATTACACATTTGGAATCTTCGTAATTTTCTGAATCCAATGATACTTTGTAATCGGCATTTTATTTGACAGAACACCCATTTTATTTTTATCTAGACAGCCATGAAGTCCCTAAATTTATTTGAAATAATCAAAATAGTGCCACACTATCGCAGGTATCTTTGATTGTGGCTCGAAATACGTGAAATTCAATTACAATATTTTCAAAAGAAACCATAATGGTTTTGTGACGTCATTCGAATGTACCATCGATGGGGTATCCATTCATATTAACTATTTTTGTGTATGAAAAATACGAACACAATAATGTAGTTGAGAACAGTTTGGAGCTATCTTTTCGGTTCAATAACAATGATTTTTCAAGGTGGCTATGAAACACAAATCAAATGTTGACGTTTCAATAATCTGTTATTGTCAGTTAGTCACTGAATACATGAAATTTTATCATGTATTCAGTGACTAACTGACAATAACAGATTATTGATCGTATTGATGTAATAGGAATACCTAAGTAAAGAATGCCATCAGTTCCTATAACAAAAACGAAATAATCTAGTTTTTGCTCCTTGAGGTTGTACTCGGAAAGAAGCTTCAAACGACAATGTTCGTCTCGAAATTACTCTCATCATTTTGAAGAGCAATTCAGAAAATAACCTCATATTAATGTTGGTAATTATTATAATATTGTTTTTGGAGGAGATACTGCCTTCTTGCCCTAACTGCAGTGGCGATGCCATTGGCCCTGGAAAAGAGCGATCAGCCCTTTCCTCACCCCCCTTATAGGTTCAGGAACATTCTGAAGTGAAAGAAAAGAAGTAGCGCACAAACTCGGGAGGGGGAGGAGGAGGACGAATGTTAATGGTCCTGTGAAAAGAAGAGGAATCCTCTATCAGGCTCTATCCACATGCTCATGTAATGTGTTACCCTACAGAACACAAGGCAAGATACCTCTAGGTCCAAATATAATATAGGAGTCATCTCATATCATTCCTGAAGGATGAAAGGCTAAAAAAATTGCTATAACTACAGAGAACAACTTCATCGGCAAAAGTGCAATGGAAAGTTAAATGAATAGGGGAAAACTTGGCATTAGCCATATTTCATATAATATTTCAAAATCTCATTTATAAATTTGGAAAGAGCAGGAAAAAATAAGTTAGACTGAATGTATTACTGATTCAAAATGAAAATTTCACACCAAACATTTTCGATCAATTTAAAGCCTGTATTTCGTATCGTTACCATAGCAACTAAACAAATTTCTTGTAAATTTTTTCCTCCTCCTTGGGGGACGAAGCATAAAATTACACTGGAAATTTTTTGACGTTAGTAGGTTAAAAAATGACATTTACAGTCAACTTATTATTTCGAGTTACTTCTATAAGTCAAAAACACATGTAGTTGCTATACGTTAATTCTTACATTTCATCACAAACAACCATCAACATGTGAACTTTCTTACCGAATGCCACTTTAGCTTCAATTAATATCCGGGAATTTTTTATCGAACACGAATATTCCGAAATATTCGTGAAAAAATTTCCGGAAATAATTGAAGCTCTCGCGATATTATGAGTGAAAATTTTGTCCCAAATACGGACACGTCCTCTCGTCTTCAATTAGGTTGGGATATAAAAATATGGAGAATGAGAAATAGTTGATGATTCTTTGGATTATAAATGGAAAAGTGCCATTCGGGGACGGCTATTTTTTTAAAATTTTGTGCCACCTCATTATTGAAACCTGTAGATTTGGCTAGAGTTAAAAGGTGAAAAACTTGTATGAGGAAATACCAAATACATTCGGTCTAACTCATTTTTTCCTGCTCTTCTCAAATTTGTAGATGATATTTCAAAATATTGATACACAGGGTGTTGTTTCCACTCGAAACTCACTCATTAATTTTTCCACGGCCGGTCCTGAAATAAGACTTTTTTTATGATGTTAGTCGTTAGAACTGTGGACAAAGAACATACAGACCAAATATAAAAAAAAAGTATAGGGTGGTTCATAAGTTATGATTAATAGAAAAAATTGGGAAAAATTAATAAATGACCCTATATCTTGGTTATAAAGAACGATAGAACCATATAATATATTGATTATTCAGAAACACCCCGGTGTCCTCCATCTATCTTCACTGATGTATGCGCCGCATTTCCCAATAATGAATCACCCCCCTGTATATAAGCGCTTCAGTTTGTTTGAAATTTCCGTATATGTTAAAACGGCAGGCAGTATAATAACGCGAAAAAACACGAAAATTATTCACAAAAAGCGCTTCTCCTTATGAAGTGCACACGTGCGGCGATGAAGGCTTGCAGTCTTGAGAAGGCATGCAGTTTAAAATGGAAGAACGTTACCTGTCACCATCTCCTGGTCTAAATGTTCTGCGTTGAATTAGCCAGAGTTGTTTCTCTCCCATCATCTACCATTGTTTATTCGTGGAAAATGACTTTGGGTTTTTTCATCCATGTCTATACAGGGTATTTCTTAAGTACGTGTAGGAAATTCAGGAGCATATTGCTGATGTCAAAATAATAAAAGTTCGTATAAATATATGTTCGAAAGTTATCCGTTTCTGAGATACAGAGAGTCAAAATTGAATTTTTATTTTTGTTTTTTGTTGATAAATTCCAAAATAATTGTGATATTCGAATGAAGTTGGGTATCTAGGGGTATTTTCCAATAACAATATCAAATTTTATTTTAGTTTGTCTCTTTCGTGGAGGCGATGCCACCTACATGTTCTTTGAGTGAAGTAATAACTTTTTTGTGCGTACCTGTATCACGTTTTATAGTAGAAAAATAGATTTCTGAAACATTTTTGCGTGAAAAAATATATTCTTGGTAGAGGTCAATGCGAGCATCCGTTTTCGAGTTATTGGGATTTGAAATAATGGATGCTTTTGAATTATTTCCATCATGGAGCTCGTAAGTCGCCTCTAACTAGTAGGTAAATATCAGAAAAAAATCGCCAGTGCATTTTTCTTCTTTCATTCAATATTCTCCCACATTCCACAATTCAACATTGGAATGTTGGCAAATGATGATTCTTACTTCTTTATAACTACTTTTTTGGCCACTTTGAACAATTACTTCAATCAATTTCCTCAACTAACTGTTAGTATCAATTTGGTCTTAATTACTGTTATTATTATTAGTACTGAATTGTAATAACACCAATTTTCCTCACTTGATGAATAAATCAATTTTGAATTTCAACTTCTTGTCATTCCAAATAACTTGCATTGATTATTTCAAATCCCAATAACTCGTGAACAGTTGCTCGCAGCGACCTTTACCAAGAATATATTTTTTACAAAAAGTGTTCTAGAAATCAATTTTTCTACTATGAAACGTTATAAAGGTACGCACAAAAGATGTATGAATTTTCAAAATACTCAAAATCCATGTAGGTGGCGCCACCCTCACCAAAAAGGGACAAACTAACATTAAATTTGATATTGTCATTGGAAAGTACCCACAAATGCCAAATTTCATTCTGATATCACAATTACTTTGAAATTTATTAACAAAGAACAAAAATAAGAATTTAACTTTGACATTCTGTATCTCAGAAACGGATAACTTTCGGACCTATGTTCATACGAACTTTTCTTGTTATATTGACGTCAGCAATATGCTCCAGAATTTTCTACACGTACTTAAGAAACACCCTGTACACATTCCGACGTTTCAGATGTCGCCCTCATCAGTGACTCACCGTGTGCGCCTGCCTCGCCTCCTCGATGTAGTGCGTCGTGATGATGACCGTCTTGTTGCCGTCCTTGGTGATCTGCACCAGGTGGTTCCAGATGCTCTGTCTGAGAAGAGGGTCCACCCCGACAGTGGGCTCGTCGAGGATCAGCAATTCGGGGTCGTGCATCAGGGCCACCGCGAAGGACACTCGTCTCTGTTGGCCGCCGCTATAAAGAGAAAGCGAGTAGTTAACACTAGTTTTTATAAAAGAACTAAGAAGGCAATGAATATAATAGTAATAATGATAATAATAATAATAATAGTCTTCATTCCTTTTCTGCATATGTTGCACTAGTGCGTATAAAAATATCAAATAACACTTGTCACCGCATTTTCAATGTAGGATGGTAGATCATCTTCACTTGAAGACATTTTCACTCAAAAAACTTAAAACCCATCAGTGCATAGCGTCCCCTAAAAAGAACTTCGATATTTTTAAATTTAGCGGGCAGATGTGATTGCGTACCTAACCTCAAATTCCTTAGTGATCACAGTTGATGTATATTGGTGCTCCATTGTATAGTCTAGTTTCGGGAATCAAGTGAATTTTATCCAGTGTTGATAAATGAACAGAAATATGGATCCAAGTCTGTACAACAAAAGGCGTGGAGGGTGAGTATTTCCGGAATAGAAATACAATTGAAAGTGTATAGAGCTGTGAATATCATATTGTTGGATTCACAAATCTTCAAAGAATTATATTCAATCTGAAATTGAGGAAAATTGTCATCCCTTTTGAAATAATCCCATCCTCAATATTGTGTCCCTTTGAAGGGACATTATGCATAATGGCTATTCTTCCTAAATATTTTCTTTTATTTCAGCTTGCCTCTACATGAGTTACTAACAGCTTTGGAGGACGATCTCGTCGATTCTGCCGATATCTATACCACTCCACCCCAAGATGGTGAAGAAACAGATAAAGATAGTGACTTATCGGATGATGACCATGAGGGCAATATAAACCATTTGGGTCCAGCAACGCTGGAATAAAAAATTGTCTACGATATTCAAAAGATGAAAAGTCAAGAATAACTGTACCTCAACCAGAAATTATAAACAGGTATAATAAAGGGATCGGAGGCGTTGATAAATTGGATGGAATGGTTGCAAATTATAGAACTCGAATGCGACAGCGCAAGTGGTGGTGGCCTATCTTTGCTTATCTGTTTGACGTAAGCGTTGTAAACGCCTGGTTGTTGATGAGAAAACTGCATCCAAATGATTCTATTTGCAGAAGTTTGTTGAATTTCAGAAGGAATTTGTGTCTGATTTTATTGCAAACATATGGTATCAAATCAATGAAAGGTAAAATGCCCACGAAATCTCTACAGCAGGTGAGATTTGATGAACGAAATCACATCGTTGATTACTGCCCAACGGACAGAAGATGATCGAGCAACATGCGGAAAGAAATCCAATTTCGTCTGTACCAAATGCAATGTGCGCCTACACCCCAAAAACTGTTTTAGGGCATATCATTCACCTAGATGACTTGTATGTTTAACGTCCCCGAAAAGGGACGGTCATTTTTTCCATTCACAATAAAAATTTCAGATTTTTGTATTGCGAATATGTCTTGAGATCCTATACCAATCATAGATAACCAAAAATTTTGCTTCTAATATTTTTTGTAAACCTTATGCACTAATGGGAATGATGGTTCTGAATATCGTTCTGACAATTTAATTTAACATCATCTATGTAATTACACGACTCAGCCTACGGCTTCGTCGTGCAATCCTCACATGCGTGCGTTAAAAATGTGTATATCCCACTTGTTACATGAATAACTATTTCCTACAAGCGTGCGTGATTCACCCTATACCCGCGGTTTAGAACAAATTTTTAAAAATATGCGTGGTTGGTGATGGAATATGAGTGGTTGGTGATGGAATATGAAAGTTTAAGCTTGTTTGTTGCAGTATGTTAGTTCAGAATCATCCATCAAATTGCAGCATTTATTATGAAAATTAAGAAAAATGAATATCCCTAATAGTACGCAACCTCCTAAGGAAGTCCCTATCTGGTACAATTCAAGTTCAAATGTCTCAGACCTGAAGAAATTGTTCTTGGGACGTCCCATTTGCATGTCTCATGCAATGTCTGAGCTAGGACCTCCATGAAATGTTCGAGCTGATACATCATTTCTAAGGTCCTAGCAATCGCATTCTCTAGCTACATATTGTAGAATGTCCTTGCAAGGACATCCTCAGAATGTACCTGATAGAATATAATTTCCAATGTCTCTACAGGACCATCCATCGGATGTCCCAAGTGGTACATTTCATGGCATGACTCCAGATCTTATATGTATAAAGTCCCTTCTAGTACAACCATGAATTATCCCAGACGGCACATGTAACATGCAATTCCGCCAGTGGCGAAGAATTTTGGGAAGGAACAAACAGTCACTTTTCCCTTGTTGTACGTCTCTGGTGGTAGCTAGACACATTCCTTCAACATAATTCAGTAGGGAGGGTGTATAGTATAATCTACACTTCTGGCCGAATATAAAAATAATACGTCGAATAGTTTCAGTGGACACAAACAATTTTGACATTTTTGAAAAATACACTCTGCATTTAACTCAGACAGGAGACAGATATTACACAGGGTGATTCAGGTTTCAAGGCACAAACTGGAATGTGTGATAGATCTCATCATTTTCATAAAAAAAGGTTATGTAAACATGAGTCCGATCTCGATCAGTAGCGGAGCTACAAGAGGTCAAATATTAATTAATTTTTTAATTAATTAGAATATTTTGCTCTCTATTGGAGTTATCGATTTGAAATTCAGTGAGGAAGTTACATTCTAGAAGATCATTTCAACCATTTTGAAGTTATTTAAAGTCTACAGAGTGGTACATTTTTGGAGGTACGGGATTATTTATCTTCCCCCATCTATTTCGTATTACCCCTTCAACATCATCTAGTCACCGGATTATGTGAATTGTTCAATTTGGAGAGTTCCATTGCTACTCAACTTTTTTTGGAGAAATGAACCGTTTTCGAAATAAAGAAGCATATTATTATCCGTTCTGAAACATGTTAAATTCACCAACGTTTTACTCAAATTTTATTCTTGGAGAAAATATAACCATCTTCATAAACGAAAATAACTTTAACCTTTTCCCTCTCTCCTTCCCCCCACTGCTACTAATCCAGTTTTTATTCTTAGTACATTTTATTGTATTTTTCTACCAATAGTAAAATTTAATCGAAACAATATAGGCAAAATTAATGTTTTTTGAACGGATATGCTTATTTATTTCGAAAACGGTTGGTTTTTCGGAATGAGTTGAGAGGCAAAAAAAGCCTCTTAATCGAACAATATATCCAATTGCTTAATCGAAGGATATCAGAGGAGTACTACAAAAAAGTTTGTGGGGGATAAGGAAACCTCTACTCCGAAAAACGTATCACCCTGTAGATTTCAAGAATCTATAAGCTGCTTAAAATTATGATCTTCCAGCAAAATAATTAAACTTTGACCCCCTGTAGCTCCGTTTCTGATCGAGATCGGACTTATAATAATAAGAATAATTATAATAATAATAATAGGACTTATGTTTATATAAACTTTTTTGATGAGGAGGAAGAAATCTATCACCCATTTCAGTTTGTGCTTCTAAATCAGGATCACCCTGTATAGGTGATTTGGGTTAAATCTTTATATTTTGGGCTCAGCATTCTATAGTTAAAATATTTTCAATCAACTATGATACATCCTGTATATAGAGAGAACGCCATTATCCTTCTGACGAATGAATTGACTTGACGTGACGTACAGAGGGTGCGCCTCTTTAAATGGAACCCCCCTTAACTCTTTTGTTTTCAGAGATGTGGAAAAATGTTGGATAAAAAGTTGTTCGAAACGATCCAAACTTTCATTTCTTGAAGTTGCTTCATTTACAGGGTCATTCTTTTTTTTGAAAAAGCTTCGAGACTTCGATTTCTTCAATGGAACACCCTCTATATTTTCTGAGATGTATAAAGAGCTTTTTTTTTCTAATTTTGAAAATATATATGTGTTGCATATTTTTATGGAAATTAATTGAGTTATTGATGATAAAAAATTACCAAAATACCGCGTCTTCCATTCAAACTGTCCATTCATTTTTTTTTGTATTGAAATTGAATGATTTCAATTTCATAATAAACCATGTCATTTCTATGGAGCTCAAATAATATATAAACATTATTTCAAAGCCCACTTTGGTTAACTTACGTTGGATGATATGAAGTGAAGCTTCATAAAGCGGTATTTTGGTAAACTTTGATAATTAAATACTCAACTATTTTTCAACCAAATATGAAAATCATATATATTTTTGATGGATCTAAATAGATAGATAGATAGATAAATAGATAGATATTTATTTCCATAATAATAACATTGAATTAGTTGATCGTCAGATAAGATAGTACTTTACAAAACAGAAGTGTATATATTATAATCACAAAACTACCAAACTACACAAATAGTATTAAAAGTATAACTAACTAAGTGTCTATCAGAGAAGTTCGAGTTCATTCATGCTCAGATCAAGATACTCTTTGATCGTGTAAAAGCAGTTTTTTAGAAAGAAAGCTCTCAAATTGAGATAGGGTGTTGCATTGAAAACCTCAAAAATCATGTTCTTTCCGGAAAAACGAATGAACCTGTATTCAAACAATTTCACGAAATGAAAGTTGAGGTCGTTTCAAGAAACTTCTTCACTCAACATTTTTTCATATCTGAAACCAACAGAGTTAAGGGGTAAGGGTTCCATTTTGAGAGGCCCACCCTGTACCTACGATATTCGATTCAACGACCCTCACCTGAGATTCTTCACCATCCTATTCTGACTAGGCAAATCCAAGAAATTCAGCAGAAACTGCAGCCTCCCGTTGATCTCCTTGCTCTCCATGCCGAATATCCACCCGAAGTACATCATGGTCTCCTTGATGGTGAACTCGCCGTAGAGGGCGATCTCCTGCGGCATGTAGCCCACCCTTTTGCCAGGCACCCCGGAGCCCTTGGTGCCCGGCTTGCCGCCCAAGACGAAGATCTCGCCGGTGTTGAGGCGCCGCCTGCCCACGATGCAGGAGAGCAGGGTGGTTTTGCCGCAGCCTGAGGCTCCCAGCAGGCCGTATCTGAAGCAACAAGCAAAAAGTTTGAATTAGAGAAATCAACCTTTGAATACCCAATAAACATTGAAATTTATAATAATGAGTAGCGCCGGAATAGCGCAGTTCGTGAAGCGCTCGACTAGCAACGCAAGGTCCCTAGTTCGAATACCCGGCGGAGCAGAGAATTTTTATTTATGAAACGAGTTATGAATTCTAATTTTCTAAGTCTCGGCCAGAGATGGTTCCGCACGATTCACTGTTGCATTCCAATTAACAGTGCTGCTCCGAAGGTGGCGTATGGAGTCAGTAACAAAGTCTACAAAGAACACACATAGCTGAAGCACCTCTCATAAGGTCGATGGCTAGTTGGTGTGTACATACACATCCAACAAAGTACATATACTACTATAATAATAAGGATTCGCCAAGATATGAATGTTTCAGTATGTTTCAATATGCAAATCAGTAGATCTCCTGAAAATTCAGTAGAATTGGCAACCCTGTCACGTGCTAACACGGCAATCTGGTGTTCCCCGATCTTTATTATATTTTTCTGATAAAATCAAACAACGTCGCGCACTTGCAATGATGTCAGTTTGTGAAATGGTGGTGAAAAGTACATTATATTGATTTTTATATCTCTTATTTCATCAGCGTTTTCATTCTTAGTCAAGAAATTTCAAGATTTCTTGTTTTCTTGACAAGAAATGTTGGTATTGACATAAAGTTTCTTGTCTTGTCTGGAAACCTAAAATTACTTCTTGTCTTGAGATCCAGACAAGATCTTGAAATTTTCAAGCAGTCGACGACCCCTAATAATAATTCTCAGCAAATAGGAATAGTAGAGGATCCGGAGCTAGGTTGACCTTCACCACAAAGCGACTACGATCTTTCAGGTATGAGGTCAGGAGTCCCAACAAGCTTCCATGCACACCAGAGTTTTTAAGTTTTGTGACAAGAGTAGGATGATGAACTTTGTCAAAAGCCTTAGAAAAATCAGTGTACATAAAACAGGTTGAAACTCCTCCGCTCATTTCATTTTAGATCTCTTGTTCATCAGGCAAAAGGTTAGTTAGCGCTGATCTATTGCCATAGAAACAATGTTGATGTGCATTGAGCCTAGATTTTACTCTAGATTTTACTAGGAAAAATAATTCATCAGTCACTGTAGATTCAAAGATTTGACCAGAGTGGCATAAGAAAGACGTGGGGCTGTAATTTTTTATGTCGTTCTTACAACCAGCCTTATGCACAGGTACAATTAGGGCGATCTTCCATTTTTCCGTCACCAGTTGGCGATACTAAAACGTGAGGTCAATGTATTCAAATACCGAAAAGTATTTAAATACTATGAAGTATTTGTAAATACAAATAATGCCCATCTCTGTAAATCAGTCCTCTTATTAGGGTATGAACCTTGTCAAAAATATCAGTATCTACACTAATTAGTTACCGACATGATATATCAATAATGCTCGCTGACGCAACATAGGCTGATTTTATGTAATAAAATTGAAATCCATCAATCGATGAATAATTATTATTGCACGCTTTCTCTTTCAAGACACGCTCTACTGGGGCTTCTTGAGGATATGGGAAGACCCGCTCAAGGATGTTTTGATGATACCTTTAGCAAACACGGTGTTTCCAGAGCACCTGAACAAAATTCAAGGGTGATTTCTTATGATAAATTTTATGAGAAATGTACATAACTATATATAAAGTGTATTCAATGAGTAGACATCAAAAGTCGAATTTCATGTAATCACCTATATTGTAGGGCTCATTATCTAACAGAATTTGTAAATAGTTTTTTGTACAGTTTGAAGTTTCCAATTATTTTCATTTCCCTAGATAAACAGGAGTGCATGGGTACTTATTGGAACTTCCTTGTTCTGCTTGAAGAAAACATTTTGACACATTTTTGGAAAGTTTGTAGCATTCCAGTGATTATAACTCGATACGCTAGTAGGTTAGTAGATACTGTAAATGAATAATTGGTAGAACACTGCACAATAAGTTGGGTTATCTCAATAAAAAGATCAGTTTTCAAGACACAAGGTGTTGAACAAATTATTTTTTTCACACATTTCTTTCGATTATGTCAAAACTACTGGCAACATCGAAATTTTGTAAATGTGATTTGGAACCTGACACATCGCATGCATTTGTTTTTATATCTTACTCTCATAGCGGGCGCTAGTTACACGGTTCGTACCGAGGTTGAATCTTTCAATCCAAATTTAATGTCAACTTGAACATCATTCAATGTAACACCAAAATGGTACTCTTGGTGAAGCCCGATACTGTGCACCATTTCCGGAATATTTTGACTTGGAAATGATGAAGTGATAACTGTTGCTGGTATGAAGCTATGTATACTAGAGTAAGTATTATGAAAAACTATTATCTATTTATTGAAAATCGAAAACAACAATAAATTTCTAATGCTGAACTTCATAAATCACAACAATAACTTGAAATGAATTTGACTAAAACAATGGATTACACAGTTTGGTTGTATATTAAGGAATAGGCTCGTAAAGAGTCTATGCTGCAGAGGCAATACATCATTGCGTAAAGTATTGGTAAGGCAAGAGTTTGAAGGGAAAACCATTGCAATCTATTCCGATAGCCAGGCGGCAATCAAAGCAGTTAACTCATTGCAAGTTAACTCAAAGCTAGTATGGGACTGTTCAGAAACCCTAAATGAACTGGGTAGTCAGAACAGACTGACTCTAGTATGGGTACCAGCACATACAGGCAGACTCACTTGCCCGAGCAGTAGCAAACAAAGCTCAGAATGGCCCATAACCCATTTTTTGGTATTGCAGAAGCTATTCAAAAAACAAGTATCAAATCATGGATGCAAACCAAATCTCAAGAATGGTTGAACAACTCGCCAGGAATGAGACAGGCAAAAGAGTTTATTAAAAAACCATTGCCAACATTCATAGAATATCTACTGAGTCAGAAACGAAGTTCAAATAGAATACTAGTGGGACTTCTCACAGAGCGTTGTAGGCTCAACAAATACATGAGTACGATAGGGTTGACTGAAGAACTGCTGTTCAGGTTCTGTCAGGAAGAGGAGGATACTTTGCCACTGTGAGGGCTTGTCAAGACTAAGGTTTCTTACGCTGGGCGAGGAAAAACCAAGAGCCCAAAGTTACACAGGGGATCTGGAAGCTAGCCTATGGAGTCTCATAGAGAAGGCGGGGCTAGCCAAAGAACTCTGAACGATTTTGAGGGCAGACACAATAGATCTGAAAAGGTCGCGGTGTGGAGGCAGATAGCCCGAAGGCCCTACTCTAAATCTAATCTAAAGCTACAGAGGTAAATTCACGTCAAGAGTTGCAAGACAAAATTGAATGACCTATCTAACAGCTGATCCTCCACCATTTAGGAGATGAGTGGATTCTTAAGAAACAAATATAGAGTCGTCTATTCGTGGAAACGAAAGACGACATTATGATCAATGATCATTTACTCTCAATATTTTATGTTCTTAGTGAAATTCATCTCAATTTTCTACTTGCAATTATTTGTTAAATCCATAACTTCAACACAAAAATAATGCTATCGCTTCTGAATTCGAATAAATACCTATGTGATTGATCTCAATAATATTTATTTTACACCAGCATCAGCTATCACTACATATTTTTCAAATAAAAATATTTCGAAAATGGTTCACAGTATCGAGTATTATCACGAGTACCTTTTTGGTGTCAAATTGAATGATGTTCAAATTTACATGATATTTGGTTTGAAAAATTCATTCTCAAAAAAGTTGGGTACGTTTGAAATCACTCGGTATGAACCGTGTAACTAGTGCCCTTATGATAGTCTAAAAAAAGTTTCGACAAAATCTTAAAAAATGTGAAAAAAAAATTTTTTTCAACACCTTGTATTTCGAAAACTCATGCTTTTACGACATATTTTTACTGAGCACACCCAACTTATTTTTGAGTGTTCTACCAACCCTGGCAAAGAGGTCACCTTTCTTTGAAACACCCATATGTCATGGTTTGTATAACCTTGTCAAATAGGTTTTTTGTTATTTTCTAATTTGCATATGCTTCTGAAAAATATAGTGACATACAAGGATTTTTCCAAAAATTTAATATAGACATATCATTCAAGGTAAATCATATAAAAAAATCCTAAACCAAATATACCGATGTACCAGGATATCGCACATTCATTTCAACTGCGTATTACTTTTTCCATGTGGAATAATTTGCCGAATAGTTACATTGGCAAAATAATCGTAAAAGTTAATTTCTTTGAATCTGTAAATACATTGACCAAACAAAAGAATTGTTTGCTTGATGTCATTAAATATTTGTTCGTATCGGAAATGAGGATGAAGAAAACATTCAAATCATTTCGGAATTGCTTTTGAGAAATCTTCAAGGTTCGACCATAATGGGCCCTGTTTTATTGACAAATAGGTATGTCATTAGTTGCATTTCTTTGAATCCGCAATCATTTCACAAGGTGATGTTTATTGATCACGGTGACTAACCTTCTTCAAATATTATTTAGAGTTTTGGATGTATGACAAATTAATATTCATTATACAGGACGTGAAAAAGAATTCTGAATTGAGAGAACCTAATCACAAATCTGCGATTGAAAGTCTATGAAACTAACAAGAAAGTATTGATAAGGAATATTCTCTGATATGCATTATCTATGTGATAAAAATATAAATTATTCCTCGGGTTATTCAACAGAAAACAACTACTTTACTGGCTATATACCACGACGAACATTGAATTATTTCCTCGATTATATCTATTGAGCACACACGATAAGAATTTGAAAACAAAATCCTATAAAGTTGAGAATATGCATTCTCTATCACATAAAAATATGTATGTGCACATAACATCATTCTGAACGTCAACAATAATTCTCAGAAGTCAGTTTCGTTATAGTTTTAGTTATATAATAGAGATATGAAAATTGTGTATATCATGAAGACTGGCTGGAAGATAACTGGACATCAGGTTTTTGAGGAGGGTTTGAAATCCGAAATGAGTTGATTCGATTAAAGTCATATAACCTGTTTGTGGGAGATATAATTCCCATATCAATGATGCAAATGCTTTTTTCAGAATTTCCAAGCTCATCAAGATCAGATTGGTAAGTTATATTTTTATATCATAATATATCATATTATAGATAGATAGATAGATAGATAATTTATTCATCATTAAAGTTTTTATTCATCAGATACGACGAATTGTCAATTCTCAATGTCGAAGGATTTTTATTTTTCATGCTCTCCTTTTGGATGTTTAACAGATATAATTCAATGTTCGACATGGCAAATAGCCAGAAAAGTAGTTGTTTTCTGTTCAATATACAGAATGATGTTAAGTGCACATACATATTTTTATCTGAAGGAGAATGCAAATTCTCAACTTCAGAAGATTATGTTTTCAAATTCTTATCGTGAATGTTCAATTGTTCAATAGATATAATTCAATGTTCGTCGTGGTATACAGTGTGTCCCACTTACCATGCTCACCATGGGTAGGTATCTTTTTAACGGTGAGAGATACGAGGTCGCTTAAATGACACCAAATGTGGAGTTTGTCAAGGCCAACTATAATAAATATCTTGATAAAATCTATTCGTTTTTGTTTTATACGCGAAAAACAGATTTTGATCATTTTCATGTCTCCTCCGTAACTTCTTCATTTATGAAAATATTCAAATAGGAATTTCACATTCTCATGGTAGTTTTTCAAAGTGACTTCGAGAAAAATATGAAATTTATACCAACTCTTCTAGAATTTGATATATCAGCACCAACTTTAGTTTTTCAAATGTAGGTCATAGCTCACTATATGACTTAGTTACAAATAACTTTTTTTTCTGCTACAGATGATATGTCGCAGTAATAGTTTTGTGTTGATAACAACGGAGTTATCGTCATTTATACAAAAACAAAAAAATATTTGGAAGCCGCCATCCTGAATTTATGAATTTCAACAAAAAAATCATGATCTCCGACCTCAAAAACCCCCACTTATCAATTTTGAATGACAATACATTCTGGCATTTTTGTTGAAAAAAAATGGCTGCTCCAAGATGGCGGACAAGATTTGGTTCGATTCCATTCAAAATTGGTGAGTGGGGGTTTTTGAGGTCGGAGATCATGATTTTTTCATTAAAATTCATAAATTCAAGATGGCGGCTTCCAAATAATTTTTTGTTTTTGTATAAATGACGATAACTCTGTTGTTATCAACACAAAACTATTACTGCGACATATCATCTGTAAGAGAGAAAAAAGTTATTTGTAACTAAGTCATAGTGAGCTATGACCTACATTTGAAAAACTAAAGTTGGTGCTGATATCTCAAATTCTAGAAGAGTTGGTATAAATTTCATATTATTTTCGAAATCACTTTGAAAAACTGCCATGAGAATGTGAAATTTCTATTCAAATTTTTTGCATAAATAAAGAAGTTACGGAGGACGAGACATGAAAATGATCAAAATATGTTTTTTGCGTATAAAACAAAAACGAATAGATTTTATCAAAATATTTTTTCACATTATAGTTGATCTTGACAAACTTCACATTTGGTGTCATTTAACCGACCTCGTATCTCTCACCGTTAAAAAGATACCCATGGTGAGCATGGTAAGTGGGACATACTGTATAGCGAGGAAAGTAGTTGTTTTCTCTTGAATAAACCGAGGAACAATTGATATTTTCATCACAAAGAGAATCAAGTCTCAGCCGTTTTGACCTATAATGAATATTTTCGACACAAAAAAATCCTAAAATTGAGAAATCTCGATTTTGAACACCCTATATCTCTGAAATCTCTCTGGATAGAACCCAACATCGCTGAAATCATTTATTTAGGGAGAATCTAAGAATACGATAGAATAAAGGGTGTTCTATTTGAAATATCAATGTTGCTAATACTTTCTAGAAGAAGCGGCAACACTGCTTCGTCAAAAATATTTAAAATGAGGAGAAGGTATCTCGAAATATAGGCATGCACATTTTTCATGGATTTCTCCCGACTGATTCTTGATATAAATTAGGATAGTGTAAGCTCGTCGTGACAAACCCTGTATTTGAAATTTTCTGCACACTCTAGGTTCAGAAACAATGAAATGTATGTCAGATCTCAGCTTGTGACATGTCACAGTGACATATTTTATACTTGTTCCCGATGAGGTGTAATGATTCCAATCATGAAAAAATTGACAATGGTTAGTTGCGGATATGTAGGAGGATGGGTTCTTGAGATACAGATGAGACAAGCTTACAAGTGCAATAAATTTCAATACTGATCTGAGGTACTTAGTTTCTTATTTTTTTAAAAAACAATTGAACCATATCATTCTTCTGTTTATCTGGCAGACATTTTGACAAACAGGTTAATCAACATTGTGAAATTGAAATTTCTAAAGCGCCAAATTCAATGTTCCATAAATACTGAGATGACGGTATACTTATTGAATTTTTTCTTTTTGAAAATCTGATAACAGATTCCTAGTTAAGAGGGTGTTGCCTGTTGAAATCGCACATACTCTATGTCTAAAAAATGCATTCCTCAATGTGATTTTTAAAATTAACTGTCTGGGATTCGCGTACTTTTCAGTATTCTTACAAAGAACCCTGTACATATTTTATGGACAATTTATTTCGGTCGAATCGGCTGAAATTAGGGTATTTGGTAGTTTATGTTACTCTGTTCAAAATATCCTACATGATGGCAGCAGCCTGTGCCATTTCAATATTTTTTCAGCAACTTCCACGCTCTCTGTATAACGTTCTGAGGTGGTGGCGTTCTCATCGGAGTCAACAATATCTTTACATCATCTACCGTTGATCTGAATACAAGACCATTCCGAAACCTAACGGCTGGTATTGACATATTTGCAGTTCGAGTATAACATGTGACTCAGGTTCCCTTTGTGTAATCAATGTTGATGTACTTCCAAAAGTATCTCTCGGATATTTTGAAGGACTATTTCTTGCTCTAGAATCACTAGATTGTCTCAGCAATAACAAAAACTACAAAGTCCCCAAATTCAAGCAAATTTGATGAGAGCCCATGTTCTATAAGATCTGCGTGGTCCTTTAAGAAAAATATGCACTCACATTGTTCCCTTGGCCACCGTCATGTTCAGGTTGCTCAGCACGTGGTTGGGCTTCTTCTTGGACCCGTAGTGCTTGAAGGCGTGCCGCACGCACACCGCCTGCTGTCGTTTGCTCCACCCTGTAGATTGCTGGTGGACCAAAGGCGGCCTTTCTGCTGTCACGCCGACCATCAGGTCCGGACCTGCACCGTTCGGCTCCACGCGATCGCCCATCGCTGACCCCTCACTGCAAAAAAAGGTTATCTATTTATTTGAGATTTTCCTGAGGTTTTTATACGGAGTACGAAAACATTGTGAATCGCGCAGTACTATCCCCAGCCGATGCTCCGAAACTTTACAAAATAGGTAAAATGAGGTTCGTTTTTTCTTGCGCAACATATTATTATTCAGTTCATTCAAAGATTTGGAATGGTCATCTATACGGAAATCTAAATAATAGATACCTCCGGATTTCGAAAACTAAGTATCCATTTCGTCTTAGCCACATTTCATCTCAGCCACATCTCATTTCAGCCTCATTTTATGTCAGCCTCATTTCGTCTCGACCACATTTCGTCTCAGCGACATGAGGGGAAAATTGCACTTATCATTCGATGGGTTGTTTTCGAAAATGTTTTTCTGTACTCACGTGAAAAAAACGAATTTGAATATAGGAATGTGAACAATAAACCACTATTTATCGAGATATTTCAAGGGAAAATTCGAAATTTCGCCTTCTTTTCCCCTTGTCTTGGATGCATTCACAGCTACTTGCTCTTCCTATTTTATCATTGGACACTTCACATACTCATGCTGTACTTCAATGACACATTTTTATATAGAAAATTCAACTCAAAATATGATTTATATGGCGAGTTTTTCATATTTAGTGAACAATCATTCCAGGTGACGGCCATTTAATCAATAATCAATCCAAATACGAGATGTCAAATGTCAACAGATTGTTCTTGAACAACGTTACACACGCCATTACTTCAAATGATATTCTTCCTGCTTTTCAATAATTATGGATAAATCCTCGGATAAATCGCAAGAAAATGTGGCTGAAGCGGTTACCTAGAAATTCAATTAAAATCATTTTTTATTTTCAACTCCAACACCCTGTATCTCGCAAACGAAGCCTTCTTCGACTTTTTCCATGGAGACTTTTTTATTTTGTTGGAAACGCCCTATCACCTCCCACATATTACGAAACACCCTGTATTCACGAAATTGCGTTTCCAAATTTATTGTTATTTAAAGAATACCGTTGTGAAAAACGGACCAAGAAGTTGTAGGTTAAATTTGTAATTTTCCATTATTTTCGAACAATTTCATTTCTAACCAACGTAGGTGATCCATAACCTACAGTGGGGTGGAAGAACTTACAGTAACTACTCCACCACATAAACAATTTAATAATGACCAATGGTCATGGACATAGGGACATGTTTCGAAGGATTAATCCGCACTATGCGCGGTTAAAAATAGATTTTTTTCTGTGACGGGAAAAAAGTTTGGCACTTCATACCTGTTGACAGGTTATAAAATGTCACTTTTCATAAGTTACTTTTTTCCCGTGGGAAAAAAGTGAGTACTTTTTTTCCCGGATATATATCACATATATATACTCTGTTAATGGCTTTTGTTGTGCTATAGTTCCGATACATGAGTCAATAATACCGTCTCCGAGAAAGAACTGCAAGTCCTTTTATCTTCCATTCGACTTCGCGGTTTCGTATATTACTAAACAACTACTGAATTCGCAATTTTTTAAAATCAAATCACAGAATTGAACTGACAGAAGTGACATCAGATATTTGATTACTCCAAAAGAATGATAAAGATGTCTATAAAATGCAGGTGTCCCTACTGTTAAAAACTTGAAATTTCACGTCGATAATTTTCAGATTTCGAAATAATGTAATATCTTCTCAATATTGATTCGTCCTTCCTTCTGTCACAGAAAAAAATAGTGTATTATACATGGGAAAAATATTAGATTTTAGCTCACGGTTTTTTGTCTCCCTCCGCTACGCGTCGGGAGACAACACAACCTGGAGCTAAAATCTACTACTTTTTTCCCTTGTATAATAAATAACTATTTTATGTTTTTTGAGTAATCTTTTTCCACCAATAAAGGTAGGTTCATTTAGATTTTCAATAAATACTCAGAAACTAACATAAGCATTGTTACACTTCTTACAGATTTTCTTTATATAAATATGCTGATGATGAAGGATTTATCCTTCGAAACATGTCTGTGACTGTGAGTTCTTTCACCCCTCCCGAGCTTCATTTCTGTCCACTTTTTCTCATTGAAATTTATGAAATTTTGCTGGTGCGAATAGGTCGAATTATCAATATATTTTCACCGGAAAAATACTTGGCAGAACACTTTTCTGACCAAACAAGGTTGGCAGAATAGTTCGCAGAAGCTTTCTGTATCATCAAGTTTTTCCTATCGGAAAATGGCTTGGCAGGACGCTTTTTGGACAATTTCAATAAGGTACTATTTCGAAACTTGTGCAGAATGGTAAGAATTTGTCCGTGGAAAATCCATTGGCAGAAAGATTTTTCCACCAATCGGACTTGGCAGAATAGTTCGGTATGCTTTCTTTTGGTGAAAAGAAGCAGCATGCACATTTTTGGGGTTAGTGCAGATCGGTCAAATAATTCCGCTATTTTGCAATATTGATGATTGTTTATTAACAAAATAGGACCGATTTGGGGTGGGAGAAACTTGAATTTGTTAACAGTCGGTGTTGTTCTCGCATATGAATTATATTCAAAACTTGTGCAGATCGGTCTTTTTTTCCTGCCATCAGCTCCCCTACTAAAAGGTGGAAAGGTGGACAGGGAGATTCGCATTTATGCGGGGTGATGAATTCCAATGTGATGATCTACAAAAAAGTAGATATTGAAACAGTATTTGTTCAATTTTTTTCTCATGAAGCTCAGTCGAATAATGAAAAATAAGTGGCGGATTTTTGAGAAGCATTTTCACAGCATAAAGTATTTGTTATCCACTGGACCATTCGGATTATTCTTACCATCGTAGTTTGCTAGTTTGTTTTCGATAATTTCAACTCATGTTGTAGTTGGACTTCACTCAGAATCATTAATTATGAAAACCGACACTTTTTCATTCAATAGAGAGATAGTATGTGTCTGTCAAGGCTCATCATACAAGTATAACATTAAATATCGAAGTGAAATCTATTGTTATTTTTGATGCGCTAATAAACAGAAAGATCATTACTGTTAACTTTTTATAGGTATATACAGGGTGTCCGGAAATTATGCGCCAAAAATCAAGGGGGTGATTCTGCATGAGAGAACATGAAATTTATTTTCTATAAACTTGGTTCCGGAAAAGCATAGTTTTCTAGATACGGTGTGTTAAACTTTTTAGAAAAAATCGTTGTTTTATGAATATCCCAAATATTCGTCCACCGATTCTCTTGGTATTTGGCAATGATATTTTTTGTCATGAGGGGCTGATTTTGCCATGATTAAATTGAAATTGTGAAATTCAGTGACGTCCCAGGGTTCCCCTTCCGAATATAACTGTCAATAAAATGTGCGCCACTGATTTTTTCAAATTCTTAATCCTCCTACCATAATGATTAACTGAAAATACATCATTATGGTATCTTGAATTGCTTTGCTATTTTGCTGCGTTTTCATGGAAAAAAATGAATACCAATTAATTGTATAAATTTGTGCAAAACATTGCTTCAAAAACAGGGGTGAAATTAAATGTGTGATCCATGTCCATAGACGTAGAATGAGAATCAAAATTCATTTTCTTCAAATATTTTATAATACATGTTTGACACACTTCGTATTATCGAGTGTGGAGTGTGTCAAACATGTATCAAGAAGTATTTGAAGAAAATGAATCTTCATACCCATTCTATGTCTATGGAAATTGATCACTCATTTATTTTTACCCCAGTTTTTGAAGGAGTTTTTCGGCACAAATTCATGCACTAAATTGGTATTTTTATTTTCCTTGGAAATGAAGAGGAATATCGAAACAATTCAAGTGACCCAAATGTTGTATTTTTAGTTGGTCAATAGGTTATGGAGATACAGAATTCAAAAAAATCAATGACGCACATTTTATCGACAATAATATTCGGTACATTGCCCTGCGGGACGCCATTAGATATCATAATTCCAATTGAATTATGACTATATCAGCCCCTCATATCAAAAAATATCATCGCCACATTTCAAGAAAAAAGGTGGAAGGACACTTGAGAGAGATCTTTTTTAAAAGTTTTAACACACTGTATGTTGAAAACTATGCATTTCCGCACCCACGTACATATCAAATGAATTTCTCATTGCATCATGTAGAATCACCTTCTTGATTCTTTGCGCATAATTTCCGGACACCCTGTATAGCTATTGAAAAATATACTTTTCATTAATTTTTAGATAACTTACCATTGATAGACAAAGGAAGTCACTTCCTCATCCTATCTGGTACGCAGGCTGTCATGTAGACATTCGCGTATGGTCATTATACAGGGTGTGCCATAATTTCAGCAGGTAATATATTTCAGCAAACCAGGCAAAAATGAAATTCTGGCCTAGGGTCTAATTTTCATCGAAATTAACGTGACGGACTCGAAAAGCTCTATCTCACTGGTGCAAAACGTCAATACAAATTCATATGACATTTCTCATGGAATAATATTATTATGATGAAAGTGGTAGTCGATTTATGAAATAATCGGGTTATACACATTGATCGAATTCACGCCATAAACCTATTTATATCAATCTGTGTATGAATGCAGGCATCCTCCCCAGCAAACACAATTATGTAAAATTGACATAAGTGTTACATAACTGACAATACGTGTTATGTAACTATGTTATGTAAGACTTATATCACTGTTATGGCGAAATGTCCGCCACAAATACTACATGATTATTACGTAACAATTATGTCACTATTTTATATATATTTTATATAATTCCATTGCTATAAATAAGATGTTACGTATATAACAAACTGACATAAATATTACATAACATTCTCTAGATGTTATGTAAAATTTACATCCCTATTATGTAAAAATGTCAGCTACAAATATGACTCCATTTCAATATAATATTGATGAAACTACTTGACTAATATCTGAAATGAATATCGGAATTTCACGAATAACCTCTTCACTTCACTAACTCACTTCACAGGCATATGCACATATTGATAACTAAGTACAA